GGTACAGATGCGGTGGAAGTTGATGACGATGGTGGTGCTCGACCTGGCCTGGAGGAGTCGTCGTCGTCGGAGGCGGATCCGGGCTGGTGGGAGTCGGCTCAGTGGCTGTGGGTGCTGGCGGTGGAGGAGTTGGGCTGTCTGTGGGCTGGGGATTGGGTGAAGTGGGCGACGACGTTGGCGGAGGCGGCGGAGGCGGTTGAGAAGGCTCTGTCGTCGGCGGTTTGGGCGGCTCGCTCGTTGGCGGCGGCGGCGGAGGCGGTGGTGCGCTCGTCGGGTCGCTGGGCTTGGGCGGCTCGCTGGAGGTTGGTGGAGGATTGGGAGTTGTCTGCTTCGACCCCGGATCCGACGTTGGCTTGGGCGGCTCAGACGTGGGCATCCCACCGCCTACTCAGTCAGCATCTCCATCATGTCCATCTCGTAGCAGGCCAGGCTGCTGCCGTCCATCCAACATACCGGTCGACATGGCGGCCATCCTGGAGGCCGGGCGGGATCAGCTCAGATCAAGCGTCTTTCTTCGTCTTGTCCGTTCTCGTCCTCTCGTCTTGTCCGTTCTCGTCCTCTCGTCTTGTCCGTTCTCGTCCTCTCGTCTCTGCCCTGCTTTGTGTGTCCTGGCGCCGTTGAACGAGTGTTGCTGGTTTGAAGTCGACGTCGAAAAATCGAGGTTCTGGACGGAAAAAAGCGACCAGGAGAAAAACGCCCGCCTTTCCCGGTTGGGCGTGCCAAGGAAGCGTCTTTTAGACCAAAGTCGAGCCAAGTCGAGATGAAGAGATGAAGAGATGAAGAGAAGAGAGAAGAGAGAAGAGATGAAGAGATGAAGAAGTGGATGAGAAGAGAAGCGCTGGTTCCTGGCAAAGCCTGCTCAGCCCCAACTTCTCTTCACAACCACTCACTATGTCACTTACTGTCCATATCATCGCTTCAGGCTAATAGAAAGTCTTCGTGGGAAAAAAGGGGCTGTTTGTAACTATCGTAATACAGATACAGATAGTAGGGGTTAACGTGGCTTGACGCCCGTAACGCCATTACTTACAGTACATAAAATACACGAATACGAGCCTCTTGCTAATAATAGAACACAAGGCGATGTGAAGATGAAGAGAAAATGAGCATGGCTTAAGATACAGCTAGAGAGGCTTGCAGCTCCGTCTATAGAGAGAAACAAATGGAAAAAGCAGGAGCACGAGGGCGCAGCGGACAGACACACGACTCCGAGATTATATAGAAACAATAATAGTATGGACAGTAGATGGAAACAAATTAGACGTCAAGAAGAAAGGTTTAAAGGGCTAAGAGCGCATTTCCCACTGGGGCTTGAGGTTGGAGCTGAAGTCGTCTCTGGTTCCGACGGTCTCGGCGGGCAGACGACTGACGCGGTAGGCCCCCGCGCGGATGTTGTGTGCCTGCAGGGCAGAGATGCCGGTGCGGTTGCTGCGGATGCTTCCGGCGTCGCTGCTGGCCGCGGACTCGTTCTTAAAGCGAGGCGGCGGTGCAAAGTCCAGCGCGGTGAAGGTGCCAGACTTGCGCAGTGCGTGACTGGGGATGATCGGCGTTAGCGACAAAAGTGCAACAACGAAAAACAGATAACAACTTACGGGCTGGGAACGGCGGGTAGCTCGTCAAAGGATGAGACAAGCGGGCTGTGCGAAGGGACCATCAGGTTGTAGTGCTGCAGGCCGCCAAGGGGCGTCTCAGGTCGGCCGGCCTGGCGGTCCCGCGTTCGGGGGCCAGGGGCAAAGTCGACGGGCAGGAACGTGTCGTCCTTCAGCTTGTGGGGAGTGGGGAGGATGTGCAGGGGGGACGGCGGTGGGAGAGGCTTCTTCTGCCGTGGGTGTGGGATGCGGCCCGAGGCAGAGGAGAAGGCTCGGGGTCCGCCCATGGGGACACCGCTTGAGAGAGAGCTGGTTGCGCTGTGGCCGAAGCCCGTGTTCATGCCCATCCCGGGAGGTGGCTGGTGGCCCGCTCCTGGGTGACGGCGCGGTGGGAAGGCAGGAGGCATCCGGGGCGGCGGAGTCATGGCCCGACGAGGTAGAGGCTGGGCAAAGGGTGGTGGGTTGGGCAGCGGAGGGACGTCCCCGTAGTCCTCGATATACTCCTGCTGGAAGGGCTTGCTCTCGTCAAAGTATTCCTTGTAGAAGGATCGGATACGGTTGGCTCGCTGCTCTGGGTTGTCGGACGGGTCTTCTGGGGGCAGTGGCCGGATTCCCATAGTCAGTCTGCGGGTATCTATCAGGTGGTTGGAGTCGTAGTACTGGTCATAAACGTCGTGGATGCTGTCGGCCCCGTCTTCCTCGTCTGGATGTCCATATCTGTTGTCTCCCTCGCCGTCCTGTGGGTGATGGGCCTGCTGCTGCTCCTCGGCGGGCATGATGCTGAACTGTGGCAGGCCGGGAGTGGGCTTACTCTCGTCTCCATAGTCGCTGTCAGCATCGGCCGGTTGACGATCGGCGGTGGGTTCGGATGATCCCAGGTTGAAATCCAGTTTTGGCTCATCGTTGGTCGAGAATGCCAGGCCGGGCAGATGCTCGATGGGTTGTCCTTTGTGGCCATCCGGTGACGGTGACCTGCTACCACCGCTTTGGATAAACTGGCCTAGATAGTTTTGGCTATTCCGTACAGCCGGGTCTTTGCTCCCTGCAGCACCCATCTGGCTGCCGGTGCTGGTGCTGTCGTTATGGGTATTGTTATCGCTGCTGGTATTGTTGGTACTGTTCAAGGATGGCAAACCCAGCTCATCATAATGGTTTTCAGACGGTAGGTGTGCTGCCTGCGGTGGGCTTAGGGGTTCAGCAGGAGCAGCTAAGGGGGGAGAAGTGGACATGCGTTGCGCGTTCCGGAGCAGATTCTGAGACATATCATCGCCTAGACCGTGACCGTCACCACCGGCGTGTCGACTACTTCCGGCCGTGTAGCTGGAGTTATCGTCCGCGTTTCCACGTCGACGGCCGGTGGGATTCGACCTTATGCTGCCGTTGTTATCAAAGGCTGCACCGTACTTGTCTTCCCCGGGCATGGTTCGAGAGAGTGAATGCAACGAGCCCCGAGACTTCTGCAGGCCTGGCGGGAGGAAATAGGGGTTATCCATGGTCCAGTCCATCGACATGCCGGGCTGATGGTGTCCCTGGCCCTTCTCAGCTCCCTGGCCGGGCAAGCCCGACTTGACTTTGGCGCCGCTGGTGGAAGCTGGAACATCGTCCAGACCATAGTCGAGGGCCTTCATCTTGTCCTGTTCATCTTCCTTTCGCAGTTTCTTGACGTGACGTCGGTGCAGGATGAAAAAGGCCACAAACGCGCACACCAAGGGTATCCTACATTTCCCGTTAGCACTGATATATATCCACGCAAAGCCCTCATAAAAAACATACACGACACCGAGGGCGATGGCGACGGTAGGAGTCTCCGTGAGACCGGGCCCGCAAGCCTTCCCCGCATTGTTATCAGGACTACAGGTCGCATCTCTGCGTGGGACAAGCCGTACGGTGTCGGGGACGTCTCTCTGTTCTATCGGCTCTACTACCAACGAGCCCTCGTCTTGCTGTGGGATTTCCATCGACAGGAGCTGTATCCGGTGCTCCGGGATAGGGGCTGACCGAACGACGACTGGGACGTCTCTTTTACCGTCCCGGTGGCGGTGGTGGTGATGCATCGCTGGTTCGAGGTCGTAGCAGGTTCAGGCGGTGGTCATTAACGAGAGTAGCACCAAAACACAGGCAAAACAAAAGCGCAGGTAAAAATGGGATCAGTCGTAAATCCAGCAGTCCGTTATACGCCAGGAGAAGCAAATGAGCGATATGTAACAATAGTAATATTTCTTTATTTCTGTGTAAAGAATGGTTTGTCGTTCAGCAAAAACGAAGGTGAAGGCCAGCCCTTGGAGGTTGAAGTAGAAAAAAAAAACAGCGCAACAAGAGAGTGTCAAAGATAAGGAACGCGGCCGCCTCAGGCCATGCAAGGAGCGTAACGGCTGTCAGTTGGCCATAACGAGGACTCTCTCTTTTTCTTTTCTCCAAGAGAAGACGAAGTCGAAGAAGAAGTCGAAGAAGAAGTTGGAAGTTGAGGCGGTCGAAAGGAGAAGAAGAAGAAAAAGGGAGAGGAAGGCCGTGCTGCACGCTGATTGGTCGGTGCCTGGCCAAAAGCCCTGCGATGTCCCTGAAATCTCTCGGCCCGCAGAAGACGAGGATCTTCCATGCTGTGTTTATAAATATACATGTAGGAACGTATGGTGTGGGTACTCCGTATACTCTGTATATACTCATTTCATTCAAACATCAAACATATCGCTTCCTGGTGGCTTAAAGATCTTCTTCTTCTTCTTCTTCGACTTCATCTTTTGGAGGCAAAAATCTTGCTTTTTTTTCTTTTTTCTTCTTTTTTTGGGTTTAAACCTTCTTTTTGAATGATTATATAAGCATCACGTGGAAACATCGCATTAGATAAGCTAAATGACACATTTCTTAGTCATCTCGAGTATGACATCATCGAGAGAAAAGAAAAGAAGAAGAAAAAGCGAAGTTTTTGTTAGTTTTTTCCTTCTAAGAAGACGTGAAGTGGTTGAAGTCGAAGAGAAGAACTTCATCAGACGAGGAGGAAGCATGCATTATAAGACGGACGGCATCTCGGCATTTGAGCTTGTATAGTACGGTGGAAAGTATCGCCACGGCAGCCAAAGTAAACCTCGCCCCCACCCCCTTTGCCCTTTGCCCTTTGGTGAGAGAAGCAGGTCTCCTCGAGCTCCCCCTTTTTCAACTTCCACTAATCTTCTGTATAGGACGTCTTATATAGCAGGCCAGGGCCTTGCATGCTCTGTCAATTGACTTTGCCCGTACCGAGGAACGGCATCTTGGCAAGTTGCGGGTTGAGATCTCGTTGCGAGGCGCAAAAAGGTCCCATCAGCAGAAGCACCAGCAAACAGCGCCCTCCACGATGGCCACTCCAGACATCGAAAAGGTGGCCGCGGACGAGTCGTCCGTCAGGCCAGACTACGAGACGCCCATCCACTCCCGCTCTCAGTCCATCGCCTCCAGCTCTGGCTCCTCTGGCCACAGCTCTGCCCTCGAGCCCATAGCTACCCACCACACGGAAGGGAACAGTAATAACATTAATGGATATGACATCTCGACCTGCATGTCTCGCGCCACGGCTCGCGACCTTGAGCGCCATCCAACCTTGCTCAGCCGCATGGCCACCCAGAGAAGCCAGCACAACGAGACCGTTGGCTCTACCAGGTCCCGCCCCTTCGACAAACCGCTGCCCGAGTTTGGCGCCGGCAAGCCGTATCCCCCCCCTCTGCCAGACAAGGAGGAGTACGTCGTCGAGTTCGATGGACCGGATGACCCCTTGCACCCTCAGAACTGGACGTTGAAGAGGAAGTCCGTCTCAACTTTACCTGTCCGATAACGACGAAAGAAGTAGACTAACCGGAGTATAACAGGGTGTTCACGGCTCTGATATTGGCATGGACGACTATCGTCTCGTCGTTTACCAGCAGTATCTTCTCCACTGCTACTCTCGAGGTCTCTCGTCTCTTCGGTGTCTCCCCCGAAGTAGGCCTACTCGGTCTCTCCCTCTACGTCCTGGGTTACGCCACCGGGCCTATCGTCTGGGCTCCCCTCTCCGAGCTCCGTGGCCGACGCTTCCCCATCATTCTCGGCAGCGTGGGCTTCACCATCTTCCAGTTTGGCCTTGCGTCGGCCAAGGACCTGCAGACGATCATGATCTGCCGTTTCTTCGGCGGTTTCTTCGGCGCCTGTCCGGTTGCGGTCGTGGCAGCCGTCTTCTCTGACATGTTCGACAACCGCCTTCGAGGACTGGCGATCACCCCTTTCTCCATGACCGTCTTCACCGGACCCCTGCTTGCTCCCTTCATTGGCGGATTCATTGTCGACTCCCACCTCGGCTGGCGCTGGACTGCCTTCCTGCCCGGCATCCTAGGCGCCAGTGCCCTTCTTCTCAACGTCTTCTTCCTCGCAGAGACATACCCTCCCGTAGTCCTCGTCGAGAAAGCTGCAGAGCTCCGTCGTCTGACCAAAAACTGGGGCATCCATGCCAAACAGGAAGAAATCGAGATCGAGTTCGGCGAGCTGGTAGAGAAGAACTTCTCCCGCCCCATCAAGATCCTCTTCACCGAACCTATCGTCCTTCTTCTCAGCATCTACCTGGCCTTCATCTACGGGCTCCTCTATCTCTTCCTCACCGCCTACCCACTAGTCTTTCAGCAGATATACGGATTCAGTAAGGGCGTTGGCGGGCTGCCCTACTTTGGAATGGTTATCGGCCAGCTCATCGGCGGAGCTTCCATCATTTTCTCTCAGCCGTGGTATATACGCAAGCTTGAGGCTAACGGCGGCGTAACCGTCCCCGAGTGGAGGTTGCCACACGTTATCGTCGGCGGTGTAGCCTTTTCCATCGGGCTCTTCTGGTTTGGGTGGACTGGATACAGGGCCGATATCCACTGGATCGTGCCCACGGCTTCAGGCATCTTCACCGGATTCGGACTGCTGGTCATCTTTCTGCAGAGCCTAAACTATATAATCGACGCCTATCTGCTTTTGTACGTCCACTCTCATCTACTTTCTTTTCAGATCACTAATGTATATCCTATAGCGCCGCCTCTGCCATTGCAGCAAATACTCTCCTTCGATCTATTGCCGGAGCTGTCTTTCCTCTCTTTGCCTCGTACATGGTAGGCCAATTCTACCATTCAATGCTTCCCTGCTCACATAGAGAATCTAACTAACACCTCGTGTAGTTTAAAGGCTTGGGGATAAACTGGGCTGGGACCTTGCTAGGGTGTTTTTCTGCTGCTCTCTGCCCGATCCCTGTCATCTTCTACTTTTACGGCCACCGCATCCGGGCTAAAAGCAAATTCGGGCCCAAGTTTACTCTTGAGCAGGAGATGGAGAGAGATATGTCGAGATAGGTGTTGCTAGGAGCCACTCCTGTACTGTTTTACTCTAATGTGCCCTATACCCTTTGATTTTTTTGGTTTAGTTCCTGGGTTTGATTATTATATACCCTGCTATTATCTATGGCCTATCTTATTTCCCAGAGTGCCAGTTAAGTTGATTGAACGTGTATATATAACTTCTGGTTCCTTGCAGTTGTCGATAACGGTAAAGCGCTGTACATAGTTATAAAAAAAGGAGAAGCATGATAAGATACTACGTGGGTATAGAAACACTCTTCCTCTCCGCAAAAACCCGCAAACTCTCTTCCACCCCCCAGCCGTTACCGAGCAGTCCTCTGACATCTTCAAGCCCCAAACCCGTCATCTCCGGATAAATCCCCCAAATTCCTACCCATCCAAGGCCACAGACAGCAGCATAGATGAAAAACGTCCACCCAGGGCCCATCCACCGCATCATTGGCAAGAAAGTCAAACCAATAATAAAATTAGAGCCCCAATTAGTGGCTGTTGCCAGTGCCGATCCGAGACTGCGTACACTGAGTGGGAAAAGCTCCGACTGCTGCCATGGCACGTTCCCTAGTCCCGAAGCATAGGAAGCAGTGTACGTGGTGAGACAGAGCAGAATAACCATTGCCTGAACGTTGTCTGCTGGTTTTCCAACGTGGTCAGAACCGGTGCCTGCATCGCCAAGCGAAGTGGATGGGTATGCTAGGGCGCAAAGGACCAGTGAAACAACCATGACCGGGATAGAGTATAAAAGTATACGACGACGACCGATGTGGTCAATGAGCGAGAAGGCAAGAAAGGTGAATACGAAGTTTGTCCCTGCGACAGAAAGAGAGGTGAGAGTGGGGGAGGAGAAGGAGAGGGATTTGAATATCGTTGCTGCAAAGTACATAAGTGAGTTGAAGCCGCAGAGCTGTTGTAGGGCCTGGAGCACGCATGCTATTATGAGTGCGCGACGGTGGCAGCCGATAGAGAAGAGATCGGTGTATGTTCTTTGCATCTTCTGGAACCATTGCCATTGCATAGGCAGAGATGTGTTTGCTACAGCGGGTACTCCAGACTGAGTGTCTAGCTCACTTAACGCCTCGATAACTTCCCGCTCGATGTCTCTAAGGATATTTTCGACCACCTGGTTGCTTTGTTTCGTGTTGCCGTAGACTCTTCGCATGATCTTGCGAGCTTCGTTGGCACGGTTGGCCCGGACAAGCCATCTTGGAGTTTCAGGTAGAAAAGCAAGGATAAGTAGCTGTAGGATGGCGGGGAAAGAACCAAGGCCGACCATCCATCTCCAGCCACCGCGTTGGTTTGAAAAAAGCCATCCTACAATGTAGGCAACAACCTGGCCCCCAGTGACAAGCAGGCTAAGTATCGTCACCATCCTGCCGCGGAGGTGGGAAGGTGAGAGCTCGGATATGTATCTAGGAAGAAATAAGCCTGAAGACCTATCAAATAGGTAGAATAAAATAAGAGAACCTACAGTGGTGTAATCAAACTTGCCATCCCTACAGCCAGTCCAACCAGACTTCTACCAGATATCATCCCCCAAACTGTGAACGTGGCACTCTGCCATAGGGCACCGACTATGAACAGAACACCCGCAATGATGATTGCAGGTTTACGGCCAATCTTATCACCCAATACCCCGCCTAGAGGACTGGCTATGAGTGCAAACAAGCTGGTCGAAGAGGTGATCAAACTCCTGTCCAGGATGGTTAACTCGCGCTGAGAGAGGTCCGTTCCAATCGACACTAAGGTTGACGAGACGACTCCGGTACTATATATCAGGGGGAAATAGTTAAGGGTACATCCTTCATTGTATATATAGTCTTTTGATATATACTACTAAAGGCATAACATACTCGTATCCAAACAAGAAGCCGCTGATACCAGCTGAAAGCGTCAACGCCCAGATAAACCAGGTTCCGGAGCCCTTAAGCATCAGGTCTTCCGCCGTGTAAGTATCATTTTCGTCTATAGCATGGGGTGAGTCGACATAGTCAACTCGTGGGCTTTCGAGCAGCGGTGCCGTCGCATCATGGGTATCTTCATGAGCCCTCGCCATGGAGTCTAGTTCTACCTCCTCCACCTTGCTTGTGGTGTCTCTCGGCTTCACTGTCAGTAGATAGTACTTTATATACGGCTCATCAACCTTTACAAGGTCTTTATATCGAATTTCTCTTCGTGGCTTTCTCTTCCTTGCAGCTCACGCGGCTTTATGAGGTCGACATCACATCACGTGGCACTCTGTATTACACACGTGACCTTTAAATTAGCAGCCAATAAACGTTGAGGATTGCTATTAACACGTGATAACCCAATTGGTCGGGTAAACACGTGATAGATATGGAGCTTGACTAAGCATATTACCCAGTTGGGAAAGCAAGACTACATGGAAGGCGTTTTAATTAACAGGAGAATGCATTGGATGATACACGCTAATGGGCTTTAGCAACACCAGCTGCGTCTGCCTGAGCGATGATTCTCTTCTTATAGGCATTGACATCTCCAGAGAATTTCTCCACAGTCCCCTTGTCACAAACCCAAAGACTGGTGCAAACATTCTGTACCATCGTAACATCGTGAGAAACAATCAAGACACCTCCCTGGAAATTATTCAGTGCGTCGGTAAGGGCGTCCATGGCCTCGATATCGAGGTGATTGGATGGTTCGTCAAGGACGAGAATATGTGGGTTTGTCAGGGATATGCAGGCGAATGCCACACGGGACTTTTGACCTCCGGAGAGTAGTTCGAGTTTCTGAAGGCCGGTCATACCGGTTATGCCGAAGCTAAAAGGGGAACGACGTTTAGCGCTCAGTTCAGATGGCAAATAGGGGTGATAGATAGTACGGTGAACTTACGCTCCGAGATGCCGTCTGTATTCTTCTTCGGTCTTTCCGGGGAACTTCTTGGCCATAAAGCCCACGGCGGAGGTGGTCATGTCCAGGGCATCAACATGGTGTTGGGCGAAGAAGCCGATTCGAAGTCTCGGGTGTTGGGAGATCAGTCCATTGGTAGGCTGTAGCTGGCCCGTAAGCAGTTTCAAGACTGTAGTTTTACCAGCACCGTTAGGCCCCACGATACCGATACGCGAATCCAGCTGGACGTCAAGGTCGACATTCCTAAGAAGGATGTTATCCTTGGTATAACCGAATGTGACGTCTGTCATCTGGATGATTGGAGGGGAAAGCTTCTCGACATCGGGGAATTTGAAGTGAACGGTATATTCGCTCTCCGGGGGCTCAAGAACAGGCATTTTTTCAAGCTTCTTGATTCTGGACTGGGCCTCCGCAGCCTTGGAGGCGTTGTATCTGAACTTGTCGATGAAGGCTGCAAGGCGTGAGTATTGGTTTAAGTTAAGAGGGACATGGGTGAAGCGAGGCTGTTTTTACCTTGCAGGTGAGCTCTCTGGGCCATCTGGTTTTCATATTCACGCTTGGCGTTCTTCTTGCGTTCTTCCTTGGTAGCGTAGAATGAGTCTGCAGAGAGAGCGGTTAGTGTTTACAGTTGATTGGCAGAAAGGCGACAATATTGGACGTACCGAAGTTTGCACCCTTGTAGTAATCCAGCCGTTCAGAGTGCTGATGGATGATATCTGTGGCAACCTCGTTGAGGAAAGCCCTGTCGTGGGAAACGACGAGGACGGTACTGGGGTATGTCTGGAGATAGTTGGAGAGGAAGGTGATGGATGGAACGTCCAGCATGTTAGAGGGTTCTACATAGTGTTAGCACTAGCTTAGGTATATATATGGCTAACATACCATCAAGAAGGAGGAGGTCAGGTTCGCAGAAGAGAGCTCGAGCCAAGGCCAGTCGCATTCTCCAACCTCCGGAGAAGGTCTTGGTGGCATACTGCTGGCGTTCGGGGGAGAAACCTAGACCGGCCAGGATGCTTGCAGCACGGGGCTCAGCCTTGTCAGACTCCATCTCGGCCAGTTTGGCGTGGATGTCGGAGAGTGTTATATCCAAGGCCTCGCGCTCCTGATCCAGCCGTATGGCATCCTTGGAGGTATCGGCCATGGTGGACCTCTCAGACTCGATGGCAGCCAATTGAGACGAGATTTTCTATTGTTCTTAGTATATTACCGGGTTAATAAGGTAAGCTATGGAAGAAGTACCTCTTGATCGGCAAGGAGACGCTTCCGCCAGACGTCTGCATCCAAAACTGCCTGTAGGGCTGGCGTATCATCACCGGTGATCTGCGACCGCATTAGTATAAATGGCTGCGTGAGAAAATGAAAAAAAAAAAAAAGAGGACTAACCTCTTGTTCGACGTGGAGGATGGAGATGTGAGTTGGAATGGCGACCTCTCTCCTGCTGAGGGCACGCAGAAGAGTAGACTTTCCGATACCGTTCTGGCCGACCATGCCGTAGCGATGGCCAAAGGAGAGGGAGAGGGTGGTATCGGTGAGAATGCGTTTACCGCCGATGGAGACGTCGACGCCGTCGACCTTGATGTCCTTGCTCTTGGCCTGCGAGTCTGTGCCGAGCTGCAAGGGGTTGACGGCCATGAAGAACTCCTCGTAGGACTGGGCCTCGTTGGCCTCGGTGATGAGCTTGGAGGCCTCGTACTCGACATTTTTCATGATCTTGCGGTCCTGCTTGTCTCTGATCTTGCGCTCTGCCTTTTCGAGCTTCTTCTTGTCGACTCTGGACTCGACCTTGCGGGTATTGGCCGACTCGAGGTCGACGGTGACGCCGGAGAGGCCCAGCGTGGAAGAGATGTTGCGCTGCGAGCCCACATGGATGGTATGGTCCAGCTTCTTCGCAGCGGTAGAGGAGATCTGTCTCTTCTCCGGGTCGACTGCGCTCAGCGTGTTGATGAACTTCTCTACCAGGTTGCGGACGGCTTCTTCGTTCTGCGGGCTAAAGTCCCCAGAGGCAGAGACGAGCAGCGCCGACACCGTGTCTGCCGCCTCCGACAGCGGCGAGAAGCTGCCGTGCTCTTCATCCCCGGTGTACGCCCTCGAAGCATGCGTCAGATATCCCTATTTATGTTCTTAGATCTGTATACATCTGGCGTCTTCTGTCTCTTGACATCTCGACTTACCACGGCGTAGTCTGATATCACATGATCGATGGATGGGATTTGTGCTCTTATTTCGGCCTCCATGGGGGCTGCAGCATGTATAACTATTGATTACAGTCTTTGATCCTGTTTCTTCCTCTTCTTCGTCTTTTCTTCTTTTCTTCGTCTTCTTCTTGTTCTTGTGGGTTGATGTTGGTTTATATTACGTAAGATACAGGATGGAAAAGCGACAAAGAAACAAGAAGAAAACGAGACGAAGAGCAAGACTGGAGATGATGAAGATGATGATGATACTGGGTGTAACATGTCTTGCATGTAGGGGAATGTGTATGCGTATCGACTATCGCTCTTTGTCTCAAAAGGTCGACGTAGAAGGGCATGTAACCGACCTCCTTTTCTCCGTACAGCCTCTAGCTGCATATAAGGAGTGCATGCTGTGTATAACAGGAGTAGGAATGTGCATCCTGCATGCCCCCTTGCTCTTGTGCCTGTGTCTGCGTCTGTGAGACTTGCATAGGGGAGAAAAACCTGCGATATCAAGCCCCCCTGGTACGATGGCGCATCCGGCAAACCAAGGTCGGTCAACAAGGTCGACCAGCCAACCAGCCAACCCGCCCGTGGGCCGAAGAAATAACAATAACGTAAGAATGGAATAAGGGACGGCATCGCTTGACCAGAGGAATGGTGAGCCCCGGGAACATCATGAAACAGGGCCCCCAAATCCCCTCCCCAGCAAGACACGCTTTTCCCGGTCTCCATCCGAACCAGGGACCGGGATGGAACAAGCCAGAAGCCAGACGAGAGGAAGAAGAGGCGCCAGCAAAGACGAGAGCCAGAGGATGCCAAGTTCGCCAGTTGCACTGCTCATTGGCTGCTGCAGGGAATCGCTTGCTGAGATCTGCCTTTCTCGCTGGCTCTCTGGCGCCAAACGGGAAGAAGAAATGTTTGAGATGCTCGACTTCTTCCTCTCCTCCTCTGTTTCCCTTCCGTCCTCGTTACGCTCGTTCGACGGTCGTGGTGTCGCCTGTCTGTCATGTCAGCTCTGATATCAAACATCAACCTCGACCTACCATCAACCATCGTATCATTCCAAGGCTTCTGCTAGTTGAGATCCAACTTTTTTTTTTTTTTTTGGCTTCCCCCTTGCTCCACCGAAGAGAGAGAAAAAAAACCCTCCTTGAGCCGCCGCTCATCTCGGGATATCAAGATCTCAGCTCGCTTGTGTCTCTTTCGTCTTCGTCTTCGTTCGTCCTTGATGGAGTCGTGAAAGGGGAAGAAGAAAAGAAAAGAAAAAAAAAGGGCTGAACCTCCATCCCTGCGCTTTTGCAAGGTTGCGCCCTCGTCGAGTCTTCTTCTTCTTCTTTTCTCTCTTGTTGGTCGTCGTCGTCGTCGTTGTTTTCTTCTGTTGTTGTTTAGATGTCGCCTCGAGCTGCTCCATCTCATCGCCAACCACCATGACACCAACATAAGCTGCCGGATGCTCAGTCTCGCGATCTTTTTCTTCTCTTCCTCTTCTCTCTTTTCTTCGTTTCTTTTCCTTCTTTCTCGTCTGTCTCTGTCTGGGGTGATATGGAGTTTGTGCCTGCGGTGAGTCTACCAGCCTCTCCCTTTTTCTACATCTACAACATCTACATCTATAGACTGCTGACTGTGAACAGCTGTGTGCTGCAGGCACAATTGGTATAGCACCCGCTGGCCTCGCTCTTGGTCGTCCGGAAGCTGTCAGACGCCACTCGACGCTGGCGTACCAGCGAGCATCTTTCTTCGGCGGGGAATCTGATAATATCGCTGTCTCGTCGCCCCTTTCGCCTCGCCCGCCACTCTTCCCGCCGCTGCTCGAGGAGCAGAAGAAGAAGAAGAAGAGCAGCAGCAGCAGCAGCAGCCGGAAGAAGAGTGCAGATGAAGGTCGCCCCCCGAGGACGGCGCCGCCAGACTCGCACGTCTTCCCCCTGGACGAGGAGCTGTCGACCGCCGCGAAGCTGGACGCCCTCATACGGCGAACAGACGAGAAGATACTGCTGCGGCCGCGTCGAGAGAACAACCTGACCGTCCTGACCCAGGATGTGGTGGACGAGTCCTCCGGTCAAGACCCCTTACCTCCACAGCGGCCGTCCTCGTCCTGGGTCCGGCGCCTGTCGACCATCACCTCGTCGGTGTACGGCAGCTCCGTGGCCAGCTCGCGCCCTCAGTCTCCCTCAGTCCACAGCTCCAACGCCCCCTTTTTCCCCCAGCAGCACCGCGCTCCCTACAGCCAGCCCAACAAGCTCGTCAAGCGGTCAACCTCCCAGCACGACTTTCCAGACCCCTACGACACCGTCCCTTCATCCTTCTCCCCTTCTGCCTCGTCCAGGCCACACAGAAACAGCTCCCTCATCCGCCGTCCCGCCACCAGCCACCAGCGCACCGCTGCTGCTGCTGCCGCTATGCGACACCGCTCAGCAACCGAATCGCGCGTGGTCGAAGGTGGTCTGCTATCGCCACGCACCCAGATGCCCGGCGGGACCGCCGCTCCATTGGACGGATCTCTGCCTTCTCCTGGGGAACCGATCTGGCGGCCCTACTTTCGTGGAATCACCTCGAATTTCTCTTCCATTCGCACCCGGCGGCGCTCGTCCTCGGTCAGGCAGAGACGGGAGCGCTCCCAGCAGCAGCTACATCTGCTTCCGGAGCCAGACGTCGTACCCACCCTTGTCCTCGCCTCCTCCATCAAGACACATGATCCGTTAGTACGCCCACGCTTTGGCTCTAGCTTCAAGCCGCCAGATCAACAGCCAGATCGACCGTCAGATCAGGCGTGGGGTAGCACCGTACCCGCCGCCCGTGGCCATGTCTCGCGTAAGTCGAGCTCAGATAGGGAGGAGATACCTCCTGAAATACTACCATCATCGTCACTGTCATCAGCACCAACTCCACCATTTGTAGCAAACAACCCCTTTACGAAAGAGCCCACACAGCCGTGGGAAGAGTCGATAGCTAAGCTAGAACGAAGGCAGCGTGCTTCCCTCGACCTGAAACGCTCCTCCCAACCAGACAGTGATCAACCGCCTCGGACAAGTAAAAGTGAGAGGCTGAACGGGAGCTCGATGCGATCGCGGCGGAGGAAGACAATAACCGATCCCGAAATCTTCAAACGGCCTACCACCCCTTCTTCTTCTTCTTCTTCTTCTTCTTCTTCTTCTTCTCCTTCTTCCTCTCCTCCTTCCCAGCAGCCCCGGTCAGATGACCTTCATGAACCCGTTTCCCCAAAGTCGGCTCCAAAGGCCGTCCACGCCCCCAAGCCCCGTCTACGGCACTTGCCACAGTTCCATGACCTCCGCTGCGAAGTCTTGAACGAAAGACGCTCGGCGCCCTCCTCGGCCCCAGGCTCTAGGCAGTCATCTGCCGAGCAGAAGGTTTACAGCACACGAGACCGGGGACAACGCCTTTCCGGCACCGCATCAGATCCAGCTTCGACCATCCCCGGTTCGGACAATGATACTCGCATCTTCTCGTCTGGGGAGGAGGACGAGACCGACTGCCACAGCGATACCGTCTTTGACTCCTACCCAACGCGCGCAACAAGCAGCAACAAATCGACACCTCGTGGACCCCGAATAGATACCATCTTTGACCAACCGGACGCAAAATCAAAGCCCTATCCAGATGAACTCCACCTGCCGGCTTCGTCTGTTCGCAAGAAATCAAACCTGCCTAACGGCAGCCTGAGAAACGCTTCGCCTTCTGACGCTCCTGTCCGTAGGATGTCGCCGTTGCCAAAGAACGTCATCATAGGTCCGCAGCGAGCAAGTCGGGAGCCTAGCTATCCTGCTACCCTGTCAGCCGATAGCGCAGAGAAGTTGCGCTTCTTCGCTGAAACCTCGGACGATGAAGACGATTTCCCCATGGCGCTTAGCCCGTATCCCAACTCCCGTTCGGCTGTTACGCTCTCCAAGGCATCTGAGGCTGGCTCACGCATGAGTGTGTTCGACTGGTCGGAACAGCAGAAGCCCGCAAAGGACGGCGACCGCTCTGCCCACCGGCCAAAGACTGCCCATGAAAAGAACCTGGTCGATTTACGCGGAGGACGGTCGACCGCGCGCAGTGCCCCAAACACTCTCCATCTCAGAAGTCAGAGCGTGCCCATTGCAAAGGAGTCTACCGCGCAAAAAGACACAGGTTTCCCCCTCAAGTTCGGAACCTGGGGGCTAGGAAACAAGGGCCCGAGTGAAGACTGGGATGGCGACTTTGATTTCGAGGACTCTGATGATCTTCCCCTTCCAGGCTCTCTCGGCAATGGGAAATGTTCTACCGGTAGCATGAAGGTTCCCCAATCCATCCTAGACCGACAAGAAAGCGTGCATGGCCAATATGGCCTTGTCCAGGAACTGACCGTCCTCGTCGAAGAACTGAAACGGCTCCAGGTCCAGGCTAAAGCATTGCACATCATGGATGGCCAGTCGGGAGAACTGTGGAAAGAGGCCCAGGGGATAATAAATCTTGCTACCCTTGAAGAAGAGGACGAGCCGCGCCCGAATGGCTGTAGACACCAACGACAACGTTCCTCGTCGGTCACAACGTTTGATTCAGGAAGCTTTGGCTTAGAATCCTCCCCCGAGCCCATGCCTATGAAGCAAAACAGCCATGAGAACCCGAACAAGCAGTTCTCGACTCTCGCCGGGAAGGAAAATTCAGACCCAAGTGCCAATATTAACGCGACCTTTCCATCCTCAAAGAAGCCACGGAGAGAGTCTTCGGCGAGAGCAAGATCCGTCCTAGATAACATTCACCACCTACGAGAACTTCACAGCGGTAACTCAGCCGCCTCCCACCCGGCTCATGATAACCAGCAACGCTTCGCCTTTGACACGCAGTCCCTTCGTGATCTTGTCATCCGCGCCGGTGTCATCACACGGTCACTAAAGGACATCGTCCGGAAAGCAGAAGGAGTCTATGTACCCCCAGATTCAAACCATCTCACTCCCGACCCGCCATTCAGCCAGATATTTGTGAATCCTTCCCTGCAGCCTATCATCGCAAACGGACTATCTTGAACCCCCTTTCAAACGAGAATCAAAAGAAGCATGACATCAACATACCCCTCGGGCTGGAATCTGTATTTTCAGTTTCCTTACCACACCCGTTCTCTCCCTTTTCTTTCTTCTCCCTTCGTCCTGTCCGAGGGGTATTCTAATGACCCGTTATGGCTCATGTGCACAATAAAAGAAAGATAATAACTCCCCGGCCCTGGCCATTTCCCTTACCAAAATGACTCGTTTTGTCGAATTAATTCTATCTGTCCATGTCTCTCCTTATCCTTACTTTCCATACAAAAGCTGTCATTCTTTTACTGTACTATCCTCAAAAAACTTTTCCTGTTTTCTACTTATTCTCGTCCTTTTCCTTGTCTTTTATTTCTCGTCTTATCTGCATATTTCTTCCTTCAATTTTGCTTTTAGCCGGTAATGACTCGAGGTGTGTTTTTTTTTTCACATTTTCTTCCTTTTCTCTTTTTTTTTTTTTTTTTTTTTTTTGGGAAGTAAAGTCTGCTTCCTTTCTCCGCGCTGTTTTTGATTATTCGGGAAGGCTTATGTGAAACGTTGTTGTTGCTGGCTTGGTTGGACCTATAGATGCTTCATTACCTGCTGGTATGAATTTCGCTGAATAGCTGTACACGAACAAACCAGAGAAATATAAATGGAATGAGTGAACGTGCCCTTGAAAACGATATCTCTAAACAATGTATATCGTCATTTATGGCTGGCAGCCAACAAATTGGTAGAAAGTAGGAATTTGGTGTAATCCAAAATAAATATCAGCATTACTCTAATTGTACAGTGCTTTGCGTCCGTCTATCAAATGCATAAGATAAAAAAAGAGAGAGAGGTGTATACAGAGATGAGACTAGGGAAAGGTAGACAGGGCAATGATTCTATTTAACCGTGCCAGACGAGTGCATGAAGCCACCCGTGACTCTATTATGTAGGGATATAAGGCGATAATCAATTCTTGGGTTTCCGTTTACCAATATTCCAGCCCCAGCTTCGTAGGGTTTTGACAATCTTTGGCGTTACGGCCACAGTAAGCGGGACTCGGAGGAAGATGAAGCTCTTATGTATGGCGTATGCGAGCACAAGCTGTGTCCATATACCTGTATGACAGAATTAGTTAACTGGCCAATATATATAAGAAAGTCCAAAAAGTAATAGCATACTAGCTTCTCCCCTATTAGCTTTTTGCGCCTCTTCAATATCATCTGCAATTCCTATCTCGTTGTCGTCTTCAGAGCGAGGACGCGCATCCGCTTCCTTGCTCGGCCATATCTTCGCTATAGCATCCTTCACTGAGCCGACGATAACGTGCTCGTAGTGTCCAATACGCTCAACGCCCAGCAATCGCACGGCAGCAAAGCAGAACGGGAAGTCCAGTGCGGACAGGAAGAAGTAGACCCCTACGGCGGCCCATCCATATTCGCGGGAGAGGGTGCGCATGCGCTGGGAGAACGAGGGTTTTGCAGATGCGTGGGAGTTTGTGGAGTTTGATCGAGTAAAGGTTCGGTATGTATATGGTCTTTTCGAGAATTGAGGGCGGATATATTTAAACGGGGATGATGTTGATATTGTGGACTGGTGTCGTATGCCTGCCTTGCGAAATGGAGGCGACGGCCGGGACACTTCTAACGGTCTGAAGACTGCTGAGAAGAGCTGTCTGGCTGGCCCTCTGGCCAACCCGCGCGAGGATATCATGTTTTAATATAGCTATGTGGGCTGATTCACTATTATCTTCTTGTTCCAGCTCGAATATACAAGAAAAAGCAGCTTTTGAAGTCGATGAATTCATGTCTTGGCGTTTAGCTGCAAGGTGAAAAAAGCTTGGCGGCAAATGATTATTTTTTTTTGGATTGTGAGCTTTTTCTAAATAACGACGAGGAAAACTCCGGAAGAACATCGAATGAACGAGGAGATTTAAAGAATACGAATAAATATGCCTCCGCGGCTACCTCGAAACTCTCTACAGCAATTGTTTGCGCCGGTCACAACCTCCCAATTATGCAATGCCTCCAGAATCACCGTGACCACGGCCATACGGTCCTTTGGCATCAAGCCGATGTATCCCCCTAAAGTCAGCCATAAACACCTCGACGCAGACGTACCGATTCTTGCATCGCATCCAATAGCAGCTCATCTGCGAAAAGCTGCTACTTTGCCTCTTCGGACGGGAGCCCTCGCCATCAAGAAGGGAATGACAGCCATCTACGATCCGGAGACTGGCGTACGGACTCCCTGTACTGTTCTCCAATTAGACGGTGCCCAAGTTATTTCACACAAGACACTCGAGAAGAATGGATATTGTGCTGTTCAAGTTGGGTCTGGGTTTAAATCTGAAAAGAACGTGACAAGGCCGATGTTGGGCCATTTCAGTACAAATGGTGTCTCGCCCAAACTATATATACACGAGTTTAGAGTCAAGGACGAGACTGGGCTGCTACCAGTTGGGGAGGTTATTAATGCTGATTGGTTTCAGGAGGGCCAATATGTCGATGTTCGGTCCAACAGCCGTGGAATGGGATTTGCCGGTGCTATGAAGAAATGGGGATTCCACGGTCAGGATAGAAGTCACGGTGTCAGTTTGACACATCGTTCTCTCGGTTCTACGGCTCCTTCTCAAGGCGGTGGTTCCAGAGTCTACCCCGGAAAAAAGATGCCTGGCAGGATGGGCAACCATCAAGTAACGTTGCAGAGTTTGAAGGTGCTAAAGGTTGATGCCGAAAAGGGCATTGTTGTTGTCAAGGGTTAGTTAAACATCCTCCCTCTTTTTCTGTGGAATTCCTGCTTATTAGAATCTAACAGGGAGCGTTGCCGGTCCCAAGGGACGTTGCGTCAAGATCCAAGATGCAATTAAGAAGCCATGGCCAAAAATCGAGGCTACAAAGCCTGCCCCGGTTGAGGAATGAGCATTGTATTGTTTCATGAAATTCTGTTTATCTACTGTACAATAGCCCTTTAGAGTGGCGTTTAACTGTATTTTTTTTTCATCTTCCAAATCGCAGGGATATGCATGAATGTAATTTGGATTGTCTAGGCTTTTTGCTTGCCTATTTCTTCTCCAGCTATTCACATCCATTTAAACCAAATAAATTAAGGGAACAGCCTCCCATCCGTGATCCCATGGTTTCCGGACGCCATGCCAAGTTATAATTATACAACCCGTAGGGTAAAGGGGCGATGTGAGTTATAGATCTTCGGTCAATGCAATATTTCTTTTATATTGCACCTCGGAAGGGGTCCTCCTCGGTTTGGTTGAGTAACGGCACAGCCGTACCGTCTTCCATTTCAAGACTCCAGACTTCAGTATTGAACTGCATAGTTGATCTTATATTAGCCCATCCATACGCGCATATAGTGGTACAATTCATATTTAATGGAGTATTCCTTACACGGCCCAATCTGCTCTCTCGTGTACTCTTGAACCGCATCTTTCCCTTTCCGCGAGTTCCTTTCACCCAAAACGATATGTCAATACGACCATGAAGCTGGTTCATCTCTCCACTTATCCATGGTATTTGCTGTGCAAAATATATCTCATCGCCGAGAAGCTCTCGAGCCTTGGGTGAATGGCGTAGTGCATAGAGCGTACTGCTGACAATGCTCGACGAAGACTTCTGATAATTGAATATCGCGAGACTAGAAATGCCAATTATTGCAAAAAATATTGGTATAGTGCGTAGCCACCGCCCATGGGAGCCGAGTGAAGGTAGTTCCCGGTCTGCTCTGCGTGAAAGTAGGGGGCCGCTATTTGGCTGAGGAGCGCTAATAAGAGTCCGGCGAGGAGATGTCGATGTGCGGGTGAAGACATTGGGTTTCGGTAGCGGCCGATGGCGCCGCAGAGCCCGTACGAAAGTCATGGTTGTAGCTAGAAATCTGTGATTAACAGTTTGTGAGCTTTTGTTGCTTGGTTCATCAAAAGTTTTGATAGTTCGACGTTGCTTTTATCACGTGAAACTTCTCTACTCTTTTTCTTACAACACTTAAGGAACATTTGAAAACAATCTTACATTCGGGAGAAAGAGAATTGTCAGTTTACAAGGAATAATCGAGATCATGCCCTCTACGCGGTTACGGAAGACGTTTAAATATCCAGACTCTCAGAGCGATGATGACACTCGTCCGGAATTAGATGAGCAAGGTAAGGGGCGTGGTAGTTGATAGTTATAGTCAAATAGCCAGCTACTCACAAAATGTATAGAACAAGAGGCCTTGATTGAAACCCTTCGCAAAGATAATGAGGCAGGAAATGCATTTTATCAAGTATTTGACTCTCTCTCTCTCAACTATACGGCTCAAGGTGTTAATGGAAACCATAGTTTTTCCTATCTTTGATTCCTTGCATATCCAGCCTCATATTTATACCCGCAATTATATCTTACAAATCTGTCTTCTATGATAGGGCTTCAGCGCTACTTAGCATCCTGTCTCTTCTGTTAACAGCCTACTACACGAAATATTTTCCATTACCGCAACGGGAGTCAAGAGAAAGGCACGCTATAAGCCTATCGGGGGAGAAAGAAGACCCTGTCAACCGTTTCACTGTAACGGTTAATGCGGTTCTTTCTCTCTTCCTGGGCCTTGTTGGATTTCTAGGCTTCCAAAGGAACCCTGACAATGTATACCACATTTTATATGTTGTCCCAGCCGGTAAGCATCTTCCTCCAATCAGTCAGTTAGATGCTAAAATTCTTCATCCGTGGGTGTGTTTTTACAGTGGTGCTCTTCACAGTCGTGGCGGCTCGAAGAACAATGGTGTCAGTCGACCTTGTCGAGCTTGAACGTTTGCGATATGACTATAAAGGAGCGTAGCCGTGCAAGAAGGGAAATGTATTTTGCGTATACTCTAACGTACGAACAGTTAACCTAGAAGCATCCCATGTATATCTAGGGTAATATTATTAAAATTATAATCGACTTTGAAGGGCGTCACTAATCAATTATCAACTGCCAATAACTTGTTATGCCACGGATTTAAATAAAGATATCTGACATACTCAGCCATATTGACATTCTACGCCCATCCGTCGTTCTCGTCATCTTCTATCCGGCCCATCGCCTGGAGTTTGGCCGCCTTGTTTTTTGCAGCCAGCTTAGCTGGACTTTTCATATCAAGGCTGGGGTCCACTAATTCAGGCCCCTGTCGTGGAGCAGGCATTGATTCGTTTACATGATTAGCTTGAGTTCCCTCACTGCCCTTTTCAGCAACTTGGGGCGCTTTGGATTTCGAAGCAGTTACCGTTGACCCTTTGACCGTCTTTATAGAAGGCCGCGAAGTTCGAGGGCGTAGCATAGCCCGTGAATGTTGCTCTTCAAGCGCATCTCCGGTCTCACTCTGATCGCTAGCAGATCCTTCAGGTTCATCGGCGTGTATGGGATGAAGTTGACTCCGTCTTGTTGCAACCTTCCGGGCTCCAGAAAAGTTAATGCGGGAATAGGATCGTCGACTAGGGGTGAAGTCATCATCGACTTCAACCCCGCGTCTTCTCTTAGTACTAGTATTATCTTCCAGACTAGGGTCGATGGGAAGATCTCCAGGTTCGTCCTCATCTAGGTCGCCATCCTTGGCTGGTTCTGGCACCAAACCGTTAGGCTGAAGATTTGAATCAACGAAGGGTTCTTGCGCTGTACTGTGCTCATTTGGCAGGTCTGGCTCAGGGTATTCAAAGGTAATGCCTTCAGTAGGCTGGTAACGGTCCGTCATGTCTTCACGGAAAACGGCATTTACGGGAACGACAAAGCCTGTTTGATGGCCCATGTCCATAAGGGCCGGATCTATTAGGCTTTCATCCAGGTTGGATATGTTATTTTCGTTCCCATCTACCCGCATCTCGCCGTCATCAGAATCGTGATCATCCAGAACTGGATCATCCATTTTAGCCTTCTCTGCTTCTTCTATCCTTAATTGCATCCTGCGGCTGCCTTGTGATTCTTCAGGGTGTTCGCCCGATTTTTTAAGCCAAAACAGGTTGGAATGGCTAAAATCCACCAAAGACTCTACACTTCTGATATCCGCAATCTTCTTAGTATCATGGCCAATTCGAGTTTCGGTTGGTACATATCCTTTGATGGTTGGGTCACGACGCTTGCAACTTGCACAGGGACACATTTTTTCGCACCGCGGACACTTCCAGCTCCGCAACTCCAACACTGACATCGGCATGATGTCGAATGCTCTGTAAAGGCTGCCGTAGCACCATTGTAAATTGCACTGGGAACATGTCTCGAGCTTCCAGTTTAATGTTGGGCCACAGATATGACACCGACTATACTTATGTTTTTCAGCTTTGGAAATCTTTCGCCGTTTTCGATCTGACTCTCTGTTACCCTCATCATCAATGCCATCTTTGATAGGTTTCGTGATGTCTCTCCAAGGACGGCGTTTCAATTCTACCTGACAGATTTCTGCTAGAGTCTTCTTCCCATACCCTTCTTGCTCGACTGCAAGAGGCTGAAAATTATCCTTATCACGCTTGCCCTTCTTATGAGGAGCAAATGTAGCGATTTGATTCCTCCAATGTTCGTGGTCCCGAATGAGATCTTTCCAGCGGAATTGCTCCACCCACTTAAGCTTAGAGATGCAGGCACAGCTTCGACCCATAACAAAACAGTCCATGCATACATCGTATGTGTCTTCCTCCCCATCCGGAAATTTCCCTATGCATGAGGGACATGTAAGAAACCGGTTGAAAATGTTGCACCGACAATATGAACAAGTAATATTACTTGAAAACGGGACAAGCTCGACATTCTTAGGTTCCGGTAACTGTGTAGAAAAGCTCTCCGATAAAAGAATCTGTGTGTATAGCGCAAATAGGCGCTTAAAATCTGCTATCAAGCTGGGATATCTCAAGCCTTGGCCAGCGGTTGCCTTTTTGAGGAGGTTCGAATATTTCTTGAGTGAGAAGTAAATAATTGCTTTGTTCTTATACTGTTCGTCCCTGCACACCATTCTAGCACGGGGTAGTGCATCATTCAAAGCACGAGTAAGTGTTTCAACAGTTGTCCTGTTCCATGCCACTTTCATCGTACGGGTGCCTCTATTCCATACCTGATGTGGTGCAAGTGGTGGAATTAAAATGAAGTCACCGACTTTCTGTTCAACAATCCAAGTTTTAAAAGGCGCAGATTTCCAGGCATTGATCTGTGCAAAATGATCTTCAATTTCAATATCATGTCCTAACGTCGACAGCCAGTACTCTGAGACGACCTTGAGATCATTAGATTCGGTCATGAACCAAATCGAGGAGCCAGGTTTCGTCGGTTTCCCATCTTCCACGGCCCCAGTTGATGCTTCGACCATGATATTATGCCCAAGAGTAGCGCACATCTCCTGATGGGCAGGGGTGTAGGTACCCTCGTGGCCAATATAGCACATCATATTCAATGCCCTCATTTCATCGGGGAGGCTACTCATCAGGTCACCAGCGGGTGCCACCTCTCCTTCGCCAGTCGCAACCGACTCATTCATGTAATAAAGAAATGGTGGAAGGAGAGACCGTAGCTTCTCGTGCCAGACTGGAGGACAATCAATGTCCTTCATGTACATACGTTGACGGCTGGAATCTTTGTAATTGGTTGCGTTGAACTGGTCAGTGAGGGCAGGCATACTGGAAAGATAGTGCTGGATAGTTAGCGGTACATTTGACTTCTGGGTGAGGTCTCTCGCGATTTCGACTAAGAAGTTATTAGACTTGCGCATGTTGTTATTATGCATTGTTTGAGGGTAACTTACCCTTGCTGCCATGGTTGTCTTTGAGCCAGCGCGGAGAAAAAATCCATTTCTCCAATCGGCTCCCGTAACCCTCTACAACAAGAGGCTTCCCTGCCCTAATGACATGAAACTGTACTAACTTCTGAAAACTCTCAATCCCTTGTTCTTCGATCGCGTCGCAATGAATCCGCGTTACTGGTTCGAAGTTGGGCGTGGACTCGACCAATTCTGTATAATCCAGATCTGGAGAGATAGGCTCAAAGGCCGCGCGTGGGAGCTGTAGCCCAGGCATGGCTGATAAGTGAAGATGTCGCGCTGCAACAGCCGCTCACCCAGTTGGCCTGTTCTATGCAAGTAAGTAACTGTTAAATATTGAGAGCTTCTTTAACGCAAATGATGTTAAGTATCTGTCACGTGAATTTATTATATAATGATATCGGGAACATTTGTATTTCCATTCCGACAACCCCCTGTCCGGAAAAATCGCCAACCTTGGAAAAAGCATTTGATCGAATTCAAAGTATTAATTACATCCAAGTTCAGAGGCTCAACTCCGTTTCTGCAGTTAGAGAAGCTGACAACCCTTTTTGGGGAGGCAATTCCTTCCGGGGGTAGATATCCAGGGCATTACATAGACACATTGCTAACATTTCGACCAATATGTTGCCTAATAGCGGCAGTTACCTTCGAACCAGCTTAGCTGTCTCCCGTGGTGCCCTTGCCAGCCGCCGGGTGCCACAGATCAGGAAAATATGCGTCGCTACATCCCCCAGGGGTTTAAAGCTTCAACAGATATGTCTGACACGCCAGATCCGCACACCTTTCCTACGACATAATTCCTCCGCGCCTGCTGTAATTGCCGGTCAAAAGCTAGAGAAATATTCTCCGCCGACTACAGGCATCCTTGCTGCTCTTCCAAAGAAATGGATACCTTATGCAGAGTTGATACGCCTCGACAAGCCAACAGGGACCTACTATTTATATTTTCCCTGCCTCTTTTCAACCCTTCTTGCTGCGCCTTTAGCCATGCCAATGGCCACACCACTGGAGGTTGCTTGGTTTTCTGGCTTGTTCTTTGCGGGAGCGATGGTCATGCGAGGAGCAGGGTGTACAATTAATGACTTATGGGATCGAAACCTAGATCCCCATGTAGAAAGAACCAAGTTTCGGCCAATTGCGCGAAGAGCAATTACTCCGAGGGATGCAATTATATTCACGGGTGCTCAGCTCTTCGCTGGGCTTGCTATTCTCCTTCAATTCCCTTTTGAATGCTTCTGGTACGCGACTCCAAGCCTTCTCTTTGTCGCTGCATATCCTCTCGCAAAGCGAGTGACAAACTATCCCCAGGCCATGTTAGGGTTGACATTTTCCTGGGGTGCGGTGATGGGATTCCCTGCATTGGGAATTGATGTCTTGAGTGATACTAGCGCCCTCGCAGCCTGCGCTTCTCTGTATGCCAGTAACGTGGCCTGGACAGTGCTCTATGACACTATATACGCTCATATGGACGTCAAGGACGATGCCAAAGCGGGAATAAAATCAATCGCTTTGGCGCATATTGATAATAGCAAATATGTTATGATGGGTCTTGCAGCAGTTCAGGTTGGCCTGCTTGCTGCAGCTGGGATAGCGGCTGGCGCAGGGCCCATCTTTTTTGCGGGAAGCTGTGGTGGCGCTATATTATCATTGGGAACCATGATCTGGCGAGTTAAGCTGACTGACCCTAAGGATTGTTGGTGGTGGTTCAAGTATGGCTGCTGGTTTACCGGGAGCACTATATCCCTTGGCCTCCTTGGTGATTATGCTGTAAGAAAATCTGACGAAGGTGAAGGTCCTAAGGAGGAGAGGTCACCGCAATGATGGGGTTGAATAAACTTGTATTAATAGACTGTAAATATGTTACTTAGCCCTAATCCTAGGCGTCACAGTACTCCTCGATAATTCTTACTATCTTCCTCCAATCTTCCATAGCGCCATCTCCTATATCACCGCATGCAAGCTCTTTTTCCATTGGCTTTATGACTGTGACCCAACCGCCTCCAGTTTCAGGTTGGAAGCCCCAGCTCGTGTCCAGAATTTCAACTTGTCTGTTCGTGAGTGGGTTTCTCCACATTGCAGTGTTCATTGCTGGAGCCACAAATATCCGTGGTGTTGGCTTTTTCGTATCAATTGTACCGGACGTATCCCATGCTCGAACGACAGAGAGCAGGAGGTTATCCGCCATCCCAACCGCCATTTTTGCCAGTGAGTTTGCGGAAAGAGGGGCGATAAGAAGGACATGAGCCCATCTTCGTAACTCGATATGTAGTATATCCGCCCCTCTAACCCATGGTTTTTTCCATTCATCTTCATCATGGTATATGCCTTCGACGCCTTTCATCCGCCGAATTTGTTGCAAACTCGGCTGCTCATCGCTCTGCCCATTGAGGAAATTGGCAGCAGATTCCGTGATGATAATACGGATTGAAAATTTGTCCTGAGACCCCAACGAAGCGACTATATTTGGTATTTTGATTGTAGCAACTGAGCCTGTCGCTGCCAGCAAAATATGAACTTTCCCATCGTGGGCATAGTTTGCGGCGGAGAAACTTGGCGCTAGTTCTTCGCTCATCGTGGTTCTGGTATATAGGCAGCTCGTTGCCAACGGTAGATATATTCTTTTGAATTGAAACAATCGAAAATAATAGTGATATCGAGGCGCGAGCCCTTAGTTCTCCCCCCAGGCGAAAATAGACAAGTTAATGGAGTAAATAAAACAGCTACTAAGAGAGTGATATGACTTGGATGCTATATTAATATTAATAGGAGAGAAATCACTTTCATAGATCTAGCTGAAGTTGTAGATTCGAAGTTGGGCACCACGTGACACGTCAACGACCCGATGGACATCCATTGATCTAGGCATAGCATAGAGATTGTAGAGGAAATATTCAAAGTATAGTTAACCCGCTGTAGGGACAATTAATCACGGACATCAAAGTGATAATATTATGATTATTAAAAAAACTAGTGATAGAGCATGTTAGGGCATGTTAGGGTCAGGTTGCTGGTTTAACAGATATCGATCTAAGAAACCTTAGACCCTTATTTAGATCATCTACATCTACGTTTTCAGTTTATATAATAAATTGAAAATTGTTTGTATCTAGTTTCTCCTTTCTATCCTACTATGTAATGGCGACTTAATGATAGTACGCTCAAGGTAAGAGTTTAGGGTTGTGTGCGCTGTGATTGGCTATCTATGATTAATAATACCCGCATTTCACGTGGCTAAGTTTAAGATCCCCAGAAGTGAACTCGACATCTTCCGCGCATTTATTTCTACTGGACATATTTTCTTTCTTTGATACGGTATTAATTAGAGTGGCGGCAATCATAATGGCTTTTAGGATACCAGCTTCGTCGGTAAGAATACACGATACTGACATTGTTTTACCCTGACTCACATTTGGTACAGCTCCTTCGGTTCGCCCGACTACCTAATCCAGCGATAAAGGGATTCGGGCTCACTCCTGTGCAAAGACGCCTACTCTCGGACGAAACCAGATCTGCTATTGATAAGGCAGTGGCTTCAGCACCTGTCGTCCTGTTTATGAAAGGCACTCCCGAAACACCACAATGTGGATTTTCAAGGGCTAGCATTCAAGTTTTGGGTCTACAAGGCCTAGACCCGAAAAAGTTCACTGCATTTAATGTGCTAGAAGATCCGGAGCTAAGGCAAGGTATAGAAGAGTCACGGTTGTGAAGAGAAAGATTAAATGCATGGCTGATTTGTGTTTCCAATTTTCTATAGGGATCAAGGAGTACTCCGACTGGCCAACAATCCCACAACTGTACGTCGAGAAGGAATTCGTCGGTGGGTGTGATATCCTGATGACCATGCATCAGAATGGAGAATTGTCAAAACTCTTCGAAGAGAAGGGCCTAGTCGTGCAGGCAGAACAATGATCAAATGATCAAATCTTTGTCTGCCTGCTAAAGAGGGAAGATCTCTTTTTATATGTTACAATAGTTGGCGTTATTGAGAGGGTCAAATTCTGGGTTATGTGTCTCCTTTCTTCAGTGGCCCGTAGACTTATCATGTTTTGTACTATTTCTAAAATGAAATGGATGGATAATAAAAGATCACATATACGCTGCCATTTATACCCCTAGCTTCTAGTTTGCCCTCTTCCACTATATCCTCCGTTTCGGCCGTTTCAAGCGTTACGGTCAGTGACCAAAGGCAGAAGAGAATTGAGTGTACTGATATCAAAAATAGAGAGAGTCCAAAATAGGAAATCTCCACTACATATCTTCTACCACCACTCTTTTTACCCGCCTTCTCAATGGACAAGTTGCCATATCTACTATTACTCTCAAAATACTAATACACTGTGACCTGATGGCTAATTCGCAACCTTGCCGTTCCATGTTACAAGCTCTAACCCTCCAACCCTCAGCGCTGCAGCATTCTCCGGGTCATACTACATTTGCACGAAGCAACGCAAATATGAGAAGAGCTACTTCTGCTGTCCATATTAAAACTTCAAATATCCCGGTCTCAAGGCTAGATGAAGCGAGGCAGCATCCACCTGTGGCAAGAGCAAAAGAGGGACAGGATGTTCTACGCTCCTTTGTTGGTTAGTCTCAACATTGGGTACTAACACCCACATCTATTCTAACACCTTTGCAACAGGGCTACTGGAGGGGACCCGAGAGGAACTAGCAGAAGACCTCAACACAGCAATTTCAAACAATGAAGAGACTATGAAAAACCGCCTCGATGAAATGACTACGGCATACATTAAAAGGGCAGACCAATTTCAAGTCGACTGCAGGAAAATCTTTGCCCAAATCCAGACCTCAGACCCTAAGGACCTATCAGCGAAATCTAATTCCGTGAGCGTATCTGGAATTGATCTGGATACATTTATGAGAACTGTTGAAGCTGAAAATCGATCCCTGGACCGGCTATGGGCCGAATGGGAGAAGATACATCAGAAAATAACCTATCTTGCTGTTGAGGTTCTGGGCGTGGATGAGGCCGGTATCGCCAAGGGGTCGAACACGAGGATAATGAAGAAGAGAATAAACCGTGCTGCTGCTTTGTTCCGCAAACAAGTTTCCGAACAAGAAGCAATGCTTGCTGAACTTCAGAAACAAGATCACGCCATCGTGACGACAGCAACTAATTCGGTAAAACAGCTAAAGGCCCGCCAGAAGGTATAATATTCCTTATTTTGCCATTATCAATCTTGCGTCTTCGTGCAAAGGGTTACTAACTAATGATAGAAATGTACCGATCGGAGGAAGAAGCAGCGTGAGGAGGTTTGTCAGCTAGCGAAGAAGATGATGGCAAATGTTTGAGCGTAATGGCAATCATGTCGTGAAGTATGCAGACCATAAATTAGCCTGAAGTTGATGGCTTAATATACTTATATACTTTAGCCAAAGTCTGAAGACTCTCTGTTGAAAGAGAACTGTCATGTACATCATCAATAACTTTATAGCTTTAATATGCATACCACAAACCTCGAGCAAGGGCTTATTAATAGGTTGAATCACTTTAGCTACCTTGCCCAGAAAGCTTAGCAGCCTCTTGTTTTTTAACCTCTGCCTCGTTGATGCTTTTAAGCATTTTGATCCTCTGTCGTTCCTCAAAAGCAGCTCTTGCTTCCATGATTCGCTGTACTATTTCTCCAGCATTGACGTTTTGGAACGGATGGTTGCCGATTTCTTTGAATATTCCTAGTTTCCTGGGTTCTTCATAAGGGTCAAAGGTTAGAGGAATGAAAGTCGTTGGGCCATGATACACCACATCTGCCAATCCAAAGGGGCTGGCTTTCAGGTATGCTTCCGTAGGTGTAAACGGAGCAGCAAATATGACGGCATTTATGTACTGTGGTTGAGTTTTAGCCTAGGTATTCTCGTTATGAGAGGGGGAAAAGGTATTCTTACACGGCACTGGAGGACACAGAGACCACGCTCAAAGATATTCATAATTGGATAATTTAAGCCTTTCCAGCGATTGATTACTTCATCATCATGGACACCAGCCACGATATACGCAGGTCCGTAGTCCTCCCCGTGCTCCTTTACTCTTTGGGCAACCTTGTCTGGATGGAACCATCCACGAGCGGTTCCCTCCTCTTCTTCAGCGGAGTGCACACAACGGAGGAACTCAATATGGCCGGATGAGAACAAGTCAAAGCCACCGTCAACATATACAATCTTCTGCCCTGGCCTGGGCTTTACGCCTGCCACCAGCTGGCGCACCTGTTCATGGGATGTACTAGGAGTAGAAGGACCGTTCCAATACCATACTTCGGGACCAGGGCGCAGGCCTGTCTCGTCTGTGGCATAGTCTCTGATCCTCTGGAAATGGCTCTTTCCGGCCTCTTCCATCTCTTCCGGGGTACCAGAGCCCTCCTTACCGGTTATGTACGCTAGGAGGGACTTGATGAAGTGCGTCTTCGTGCATAGAAGCATGCGGCCAACCAGGTCAGTTGTCGAGATGCCAGGGGTGCGTTTTACCACCAAAAAGCGCCCTGCCTCTTTGACGAACCGATAGCAGTCATTACCATCACTGTCTGAGGTGATGTCATCGCCATGGACAACATACTGGCATCCATAATGGGATATCCAATCTAGAGAGGTAACATATGGAGCATAAGGGATGGACTGTGATGACCATCGGCAAGCATCAACAGCAGCAATTCTTTAATCATCAGCGAATGTAACAAATCAATAACAAGAAGGTATGTCTAATGTAACCGGAGTAAAAATTGACCGACCGTTCAGCAAGGGTCATCACGGTTGGGCCCTTATTGTCCGCTATCTCCTCGTCTGAGTGCACACCAACGAGGAGTTCCTTTCCGAGCCTGCGGGCTTGTAGCATGGCGCCCGCATGGCCTAAAACCACCAATTAGAAAAAACCAACCACCATATTATATACGGAGTAGCAGAGCATCAGACGTCAGATCGGCTCAAAGGGCGAAAAAGAAACGAACCGTGGTGACTAAAGTCGAAACATCCATCCACCCAAATCCTGTCCTTTGATATGGCAACGTCCTCCTGAGGGTCTGCAGGCCACTGTCCTGGCCGTGGAAGGGCCCCGCGTTCAAAAGCTGCCATAGTTCGAAACACCTTTGCAACAGGAGGAAGACACGGGGAAGAGGGAAGGTGATCGCGTGAAGCTGTCTTCTTCCGTTTTCTTTTATCAACTAGAATCTCTTGCTAGGGGCGTCTGTCGCGCATCTCCATAACACCTTCATCCTCTTATCACCGTCGTTATCCAGTTTTATTGGTACTTCGTGGAGTTCTGGAGTTCTTGTCGTGTTAGAAAAGAGAGCTAAAGTTACCCCTGGCCCGGCCGATACGCCCTCGATACAAGGAACACCGGTAACTTGGCGGCAACTCTGCGCCAACTCCATGTGCCGTACTGTCACCGTACCGTCACCCTTGCCCACCTTCTCTGGCTTTTCTTTCGTCTGCTTCTCCATCCCTGACTTCGACTTCTTTTTTCCAACATTCGGACTTTCTCGTATCTCCAACGCTTTTTTTTTCTTGTCAACCGACTATCCCATCAACCCGGCGCTCCAGCTAGTCCAGTGAGGACTTAGCATGTAATATACTGGTACCCTGAGAGGCGAAGGGGGGGAGGGTTCCACATCCTTGAAAGATGCAGTCTGCCATAAAGATGAAGCTCGAGACTGAAAAGGCATCAGCTCACAATACTGTACGTCCATAGCTACCTACTCTTAATTTACCTCTTGATCATTTTATATTTCCTTTTTCTATATACCCGCGATAGACCGCAAAGCTGGATTACTCAACTGCTATCCATGCCCGGGCTATCATGTCTGGTGCAGGCGTTCAGCCTCCAAAACCTAGAGATAAAGAGGTAAATCGAAATATTCCAATGCTTACTTCTGCCATCTGAACCGAATCTAGGGATTCAACACGACCTCTGCAATATCAACGCCGATAACCGGGAACAATAACTTTGGGCCCCAGAGTGCCACCAATATCTATTCCCATATACACGAAACGGCGACAAAACGGATACAAACACTCGACTATCTGCGTAGCGCGTGAGCTGCCCTCTGCCTGTCATACCTATACAAATATAGGTAGAATTAAGTGCTGACTTGGTCGACAGTCACCATGGCCGGGTGTACTGGTTCAATACCACTCACTTTTCCAAAGCAGACCTAGCTCGCATGCCCTACTTTGAGAAACGCAAGCTCACCCGTCGTGCCATGAACTTCCTCTTCCTAGGCTTCTCTCTTCCGCCGATACTGGATGTCAGTTTGGGACTGTCAGAGTACCTGAAATCTCTCAACGCTCTACTTCTTGAGTTTGAATCCTTTCAACAGATCCATTCTGTAGAAGGTGGGCCAGCCGCAACATTGGCGCGAGCAAGACTGCCACAGATGTTCAAGCGGTCCGGCCAGTCCACCAAGGTTAGGCGGACAAGCTCGGCGACGGAGATTGGCCTACCCATGCAATCGGGAGATCACCACTCTGAGATAAATGCCATGGGCAACATGGCCTCCGCCGGCGGGACGTCTGCCGTTTCCACGTTCCCGTCCAACTCCGAATCACAAGACCTACTTCCTGGAGAAGAATATACATTCCTCCTAACACCTTCATTGCCATTTGATCCGGACTATTTTGAAATATTCACCACTCTATGTGACGTGCTCATCGACTGCTACGCGAGACTGGTTTCTCTTGTCTCTCACCCCGGTCTTTGCAATGCTGCTCTTGGCGAGCTATTTTCAAAGGCCGATGCAAAGCTACGGAAAGTAATTGTTAGCGGTATCGTTAGAGAGTTTGAAGATGCCAGCCGAGCCAGCGTGAAAAGCGAGGTTGCTGGGGTTGGACGTGTAGTTTTAGGTGGACTCCTGGGTTAATTGATTCTGGGCTTTTGTAGTTTTTATTTAATGATAATAGAATTTCATGTGGGACATTACGGCAGCTTTTAATGACTATAGTTTTACCCATACCCTCTGCTTACGGTCTGATGTGGATTTGAATTTGAATTTTGTGTAAAGGTCGTCGCGACATATATCTGTATAGTGTACTAATCTATAAAGTTGCCCTTCCCTCTTATGTATTGGATATAGTGTACAATCAGGCATCGATACCCGGCACGTGAAAAAAGAGGTATAAGCGGGAAAAAAAAAAGAGGGAACGCTCATCTAAAACCGGGTTGCGCCGCTCCCATATTTTTTTATTTAGCCTCCCAGATGACAAAAGAAAGTGGTATCCAACGCCAGAAACAAGTAAAAGCACAATGTCCTTGTTCTATGAAATCATGATAAAACGTAGGTCGCTCAGGAAATGTGGCTCCGTAACTCCGTGGATATAAGGAGAATAGAGAGGAGATACTGTAATTTTTGGAGATCAAGAATATCGACGGTTGTGGGGGATGCGTAGATATGAATGGAGATGGTTGCTGATGGCCTGGTTATAGGCTGGGTGTTATTAACGGTAGAATCGCCGATTTTCATTGGTGTGCGCGTTGGGCATCCATCTCTTTCTTGTGTTCCAAGAATACTCTCCGGCTCATCTCGAGAACAGATTCAAACCCTTCTCGGCCTTTCTTCGCGTTTTGGCTGAAGGTTTCTACGCTCACATCCTCGATCTTGTTCTTGATCTTCTGCCATCCGCTGCACATGGCGGTTATTTGGGCCTCTTGCTTGAAGTCCGTCTTGCTTCCGGGCATCGAGATGGATGGCTGATAGGTGACGACCTCCCGAACCTTAAGAACATTGGCCCATGATAGATTGGTAGAGCACATGGTGACTTTCTTGGATCGTGGGTCGACGTAGGATACCTCGTACACGTGAGAGGTTGAACTGCCTCCGAAGAGTTTAAGGATCCATTGAGGAGCCGTCTGGTTGCATGTTATCAGACGTTCTGTTCGTAACTAAGACGGGAGAAAGACCCAGACGGTTAGCCAACCAGTTTATACCATCATCGTCACCATATTGATGTAAAGAGGTTTAGAACAATGGGACTCACAATTCCGGTCTCTGGGTTGATATCATGAGCGAGCACATCTACCGCGATGACATGGGTAGACTTCTCGTTCCATGGACAGTATTTACGCCAGTTGGCCGTGGAAACTTCGTCCCATGAGTAGTTGAATGTACATGTGGATTCGAAGACTTTCATCGTCGTTTTGACACAGATAGGGTGACGAGGGATTAACCCCAGCTCTGAGTGAGATCAATCGTATAGGACGGAATTATGTATTAGTGTATTAGTGAAGAATGTAGTACTGATGAACACGGCTCCTTCTTCAAGCGACTTGTCTATAAGAAAAAGAAGATGGCAGGTTGCTTGACGTTTTTTTCCTCCGAATCAAATTTCAAAGCAAAAAAAGATGTTGTAGAAAAAAAAAATCGGGGCGGCTGCTTACTCATCAATGCCAAGCCCGTCCGTGCCGGTTTGACCCGCCAAGGCACATGAGCATCACGTGCTTTGCTCTTTTTTTCTTTTCTTTTTGTTTGTTCTTCGTCAACATTTGATATTTATTGAGTATTTGAATTATATTATATTATTACAACAAGTTGACGCCTTTAGAGGATTATGAGATAGTAGATGAGAGAGATCTGGCTGTGCTGAGCTTCTACAACTACAGGCGCAAGATGGAGCTGAAACACGTGACTGAACTCACTCACCTCACCCCCTATCACCAAATCTATCAAATAGCCAACAGCTACCGTCACCAATTTGTTGCTGTTGCCAGTGGCCACAGTTTGGGGATTCAACAATCCCGTTTTGCCGTTTCGCCGTTTCGCCTGTTTTTGATCCCCTCCCTTTATCCTGAATATGGGTGCAGTGCTCCAAAACTGGATTGTTGAGTTTCGCGTTTGAGTACCCATATAAAGGGCTGCCGCAGCTCAGGCCCCTGGAATAGAATGCACCACTTACCGTCTCTTCGACCTTATAACTGAAAACAACAAGCTTAGCCATGCCTGCGGAAAATGAAAAGGCTGCAGACACTACGTCCATTGATCTCGGAGATCAAGCCACTCCCGCCACACTACGGTCGAACCCTACCTCCCAATCTCTTGTCGACCAAGTCAGCCTCTTCATTGCGCATGCAGATAGGATAACCTTGCTCTCAGTTGCCACCGGATTGGTTGCCGTCCTGTATGTGCTATTCGGCAGGCTTGCGCTTCTCCTTCTTGGTGGTATTGGCGGAGTCATCTTGCATATCTGGTGGGAGGGATATGAAGGTGGAGAAGACGGAGATAATGGAGCGGCAGCAAGGCGCAAACGGAATGAACTTAGCTTGGAATTAGCTAATAGATTGACTGCACTGTACGCAGACAACGGTTCCAAACCTGATGAGGATGAGGACGATCTATATAAGTCAGGAGAACCTGTTCTGGATTATTCCAAATTGGGCCCGGCAACGGCGGCCGCATTGACTGCTCTAACTGATTCTGTTGTTGCAGACTATGTAAGGTGAGCTGGATAGTCCCTCTCTATAGCATGTAAATATGATAAACATGGAGCTAACTACTCTGTTAGCTGGTGGTATAAACCTATTTTACCTTCTGAGGCTGAGTTTCCCCAAGCCTGTCGCGACACATTCGTTAGAATGGTCTTAGCCGTATCATCCCGTATATCTCGCAAGCGGCCTGCCGACATTTTTCTCCAGTTTGCGACCAATTCAACATCGTTTATGATTGTATTTTTCAGCGAGCTTTCTGCTGCTGTTGGAACAACGACGGGCGGGTCCAGCCCTGTGGCAGACTCCATAGATGGATATTTGAAGAAAAACCCAGAGAGCAGCCTAGCCAACGTTTTATCACTTAACCAGCAGGAGAAGAAACTTGGTCACGTTGGGACCGACATCCTTAAAACCTTCCTTGAGCCTTCAACTTACAATTGTGTTCCTCTCCGCATTTTTCTACGTGAGGTTATGTCTCGTCTAATATTAAAACCTACAATAGACATGTGCTCTGACGCAGAGTATATTAATACCTGGATCGTCCATTTACTCGAGGAAGGGGAGCCGCAACTGTTGAACGCAATTGATGCTGGGCTTGAGCAGGCAGATGATATCAAGCAGAAAAACCCAACTAGCACAGCCACTCCGACCTCCAACTTACCTGACGAAAAGGCCTCTGATACTTTGTCAGGCTTGAGAGATCATAAGCCAGCTGAACGAAAGCATGTGGACCAAATGCAATCCGCAAGCCAGTCCCCTGATCACGAACTTGCACAGAATGAGGCCGTTGGTGTTGTATTAGGGTCAGAAGAAGCATTCGAATCACCGCATTCTGACCAGAAAACTGAGCATCCTACCGTATATACGCATATACACACCGACTCTTCTTCCTCGAATACCACGGATCCTCAGCCTACCCCTCGCTCAAGCAGCAGCCTCAATGAAAATCTTCTCAACGAACCCCCCATTGACAGCCAAGTGACGCCAATCCCAGATAGCACTACCACCTCGTCAGGTACAACAAAATCTCCTCAACTCCGCGGCTCCTCAGTTTCTATAATTGAAGACTTCGGCGAAGATGACAAAAGTAACATACGCTCAAAACCAACAAACGAGTATTTGATACAAATTGAGCCTAACAACTCTAAGCTCACTGGATGGATGATTGCCAGGAAATATAGTGACTTTGAAATACTGCATGAAACTCTGCGGCGAATTTCCGTTGTATCAGGAATTTCTGATTTCTCATTACACCATCATGAGTTACCAGGGTGGAGAGGCCGGAATAAGAGCAGCCTTCGTATCTCTCTTGAGAAATACTTACAGACTGCTCTACAGTACGAGCAGCTAGCAGACTGCGAGGGAATGAAGAAGTTTCTGGAAAAAGGGCGTCAATCGGGCCTCGAAACAGACTCTGCATCTTCAAAGCCTGGATTTCATTTTGCAGCGCCTGCTGCCGTGCTTGAGAATATGGGAAAAGGCGTAATGGGCGTTCTAGGTACTGCGCCAAAGGGAGTCGCAAATAGCAAGAAGGCCATTGTCGATGGAGTTTCGGGGATATTTGGGGCGCCAGGAAACGATAGCAGGAAGCGAGTCAACAGTACTGCAGCAAGCAGACCGTCGAACGTACGAGGTACCTCTATTGATATCCAGCCATCACCTATGAACAATTTTACGGCCCACTCTAAGAATTTGTCCATGAGTAACCTGCAGGATACGCCGCGGGCGCCGTTCCAACGGTATCCAACCCAACCGGAGTACGAATCAGAGGATACCAATGTTGAATTGACTATTTCGACTTCCCAACCGGGTAGCTCATTGGCTAGCTCGCGTGAGAATTTAGCAGATGGAGTCAATATTACACCACAGTCATCAGATAGCCCAGATACTCTACATGCAGCTCTTCCCCTAGAAGCAAATGAAAAGAAAGACGATCAGACGCCGCAACCTACGAGGCCAGACATCACAGAGCCACCGCCAAAGAAGAGCTCCGAGAACCGCACATATCCTCCGCTTTCTGAAGAAGAATCAGTCGTTGTGGTAGAGCTACTTTTTGCCGTGATTAACGAGGTCTACAGTCTCTCGTCGGCATGGAATATTCGGAAAAAACTGCTAAATGCGTCTAAATCCTTCCTTTTACGCCCAGGGAACCCTAGTTTGGAAGCTATTCGGACTCTGCTCCAGGACTCAATAATTGACGCTAATACATCTGATGAGGCACTTGCTAGATACATAGCCAAGTTACACAAAAGCAGCATGCCGGCTGAAGAAGATTTGAAGGCGTACCCTCCTCCTCTTTCGTTGGAGCAAAAAGAGCAACTTAGGGTCAAGGCGCGTGCGCTACTGGTTAGTAGAGGTATGCCACCCGCTTTGATGGGTATTATGGGCGCAAATGCAACTGGGGAGGCGCTTGGTAAAATCTTCGATTGCTTACAGATACCCTCGGTTGGAAGAGCTTTCGTTTTCGCCATCCTTCTACAAGCAATTAGGGTTATGACACAATGAAACTGATAGAGCTGCATGTTTTATATATAAATTTCCATCAATTAGCTAGGTCAATGGAGTATATACCCTTTCTTCAACGCTGATATTTTTTACTATAAATCAAAGAAAGTAGTCTATCTTGATAGAAGAGGTCTAGTCCTAGATCTGGCCAAAGCTAATATTACATCTATGTATCGTTCGACTCCCAGAAAAAAAAAAAAACCAATCACCGCTTTTGAAGAAAAGAAAAAGAATGATGATGCAAATGTATGGCAAATAATGCGAAGGAAGACAAAAGAATTTTCTGGATTGGGGAATCACCAGGATGCTCTAGATACCAATGTCGAAGGTGAATATCGACACAACAAAGAGATGAATCTATGGAGTGAGAAGGAAATAATCAAAGTGTTAGTCTATCTTGGATAGACTAACAAAGAAATCTCGTGTCAACTCAAAACTGAGCCAGCTGCTGGCCATGCTGGGAGCAACTTTTAGTAGATTTGGAACGATGCCCTTGTAGAAGCCTCGAAGGCCTTCTTCAACAGCGATTACTCGGACAGCATCGAAGATGGAAGTGTATTTATACCCCATGCCAGACATTGTATTTATCTGGAACCGACGGCGGAGAACATCGCTATAATTCGGTAAGCTATGGTTTAACTATAGTGTTTTAATGTAGACTTACAATGGATATGTGCACGTCTGGGCAACTGCACCAGATATCGCTCCCGCTAATAGTTTTCTGAGGGCACTAGGGTTCGAGTCACCGTCAGGCGTAAGGATTTTTCGTATTGACTCATATGTCATGAAGTTTAATCCAACCTTCAAAGGTCAGTCGATGCTGGCGGTGGTTAACGAAGGAGTTGATGAGTATAAACTTACGTAAGGTGCCACACCAGCAACGGTAGGAAGAATTCCTCTATATAGTGCAACAATACCGCCCTCGTTTTTATACATGAGGCACATTGTCTCATACATACCAGGGAGTTTCGCTCGGGGTTGGTTTTTCAGTTCAGAAAAGGATGCGGACTGAATGGAAAGGCGAGTGCGTACGATGTCTAAGGGATAAGTAAAGGTGACTGACGTTATGCCAGCAAGTCCACCACATGTGAGTCTTCTCAGGGGCGTAAGCTCTCCACCGGGCGTGGGTTCAAATGCCTATAATGAACGCCAGTTAGTATCATCTCCTGACAACTAGGATAGCTCCCAGCGTGATACCTTTTTATATAAATTGTAACTCCCAAACTGGACTGCAGAATAAGGAACAATTCGAATGCAATTAGTGCCGTTCCCACGCATAAACCCTTTCCAACCTTCTTCTCTCCACATTTTGGCTAGGCCTTTCCCAATGGAGAGCTTGTATTCTTCTCGGCCAACACTCTGAACCTGAAGAAGAATCTTTAGCCTCTCGAGCGGGGAAACAATTGTTCGGGATACGGCGCCCGCAACTCCACCACCGATAAAGGCTGCAACGACGGGGTCCGATAGTCTGCTTGTCACTGCAACAAGTGTAGCATTTCGTTGCTTCACCTAAAATGAAACCAACAGGCTCTATCAGTTCGCAATTCGTCTTTGGTATAAATAGTGCTAATTGCTCCTGGGGTAGCTCTAACCTGTGCCTGTGGGAATACCTCTGCTGCTCCCGCGGGTAATTGTGTCAAGCTGTGAGACAGTGCAGCCCTGTTGTCCGGGGTGTCATCTTTGCGATTGAGACTCATCGTGAGGGGTGCGATTGGATAGCGTTAAACCTGAAATAATCAGTAAAGCCTCTAACAAGAATCAAAGCGGTGATTAGCCTACCTATATCCTCAGACTGTAAATATTAATAGCTTCGAAAACGGGCCCCGCGCAATGACGTAGCAACGGATCGGTTTGGAGATAAAAAAACTAGACCCGAGAGGGGTAAATTGTGAAAGTGATGAGTTTTCGATGAAACATGCTCTGGAGTAGAAAGCGTATGGACGGTCGGAGGGGAGATTGGTCGGTTAAATGGACAGAATGCTGGTTAGGGCATCCCAGATATAGAGAAAAAAGACAAGGCTCAATGACGGAATTAGGGAGTTATCCGGACCGGTAACAAAGGAGACCAGCAACTAGAGTCAGTCATGCCCATCTATATCGAATAAAAGATGCTTAGCACACAGCGGAGCTAGATGTTCAATGTTATCCCGGGTACCAATCTTGCTATGCCAAGTGAGCGCATGAAGAGCGAAAGGAAACAAAAAAACGAGTCGCGAATTCCCGTTTTCGCCTTTTTCGGCCTTTTTAGTTTTCCTTACCTAATATATTATTTAATCAGGGAAAAACTCTTCTCCGCCTTTTTTTGCCATTTTTAGAGTTTTGACCTAATAGTCTTTTGTTAGTTTTTAAGTATCGATCTGAAGTATTTAACGCTTTGACGCGTTGATAGAAAGAGTTCAGGAGGATAAAATGACCAGCAACATAGATTGTGACCCAAGATTGAAGGCAATATAAATAATACGAATTCCTCTACAGCTGTTGATATAGCCAAACTTTGGAGTGCAGTTCTTTTCTGGTGATCATTCTCCCACCAAATCGACAAATGCCTACCGGAACTTCTGGATGTTCCATAGACCAGTGATAATTCATTCGCGGCCTGGCATAAGTCTCAGTCCAGAGAATTTCGTTTGATCCTAGGGCTGTAATACACGCGGTGCCGATGTTCCCTAACATCATCTTAGCAAATTCCGAGATGTAAGAGTCGATTATGCCACTAACATAGAACCCTATCGAGATTCATCGTAGCGTTCTTACCCTCCCAATGCCTCTCATCGGTTAAGGGGTCAACAGCAAATACATCCAGGATCGGGTAATCGAGAGATCTATATAAACCAGCGTCTGGGTTAGGTATTCTTGCCACCAGCTCAGTCAATAGTCAAGACGAAGACCTTGTCGAACTGTCCCTCGACACAATTGAGCACTTCCACGATTGTATTGCACCGATGATTAACTTATAATTATAAAGAAAAAAAATACAAGAATAGTTCCTGTATAAAACCCCTTTTCGTTACTAATAGATCTAACAGCTGCGTTCAATAACGCATTTGGGTTGAACTTGCGATACCGCACATCGAACTTTTCTTGTCCATTACTCCTTAAAAGAGGTCAGCAAATCTAATATAGCAGGAACCATGCATACCTATAACCATTTATATCAAGTATATCGATATAGATCCTCCTCGATAATGGTATATTCTGCATTTGAGTACGCAGAGGACGGCCTTACGCACCTGACCGGTCTTCTCTAGCACTTCGAAGAATAGGATCAATGGCAGCATCAGCCTTACGGGGTGCTGGTACACTCATCGCCCGTCGTATATTTGAAGCTTGGTTCCGTATAACCGCAAGAGCATTGCGTTTCCCAATGTCACCACAATGCTACCTCTCCTAGATGCATTTTAAACAGAGAATAGTCTGTTTTCATGCTACACTTAACTAGCCCCCCTTACCCTGCTCAATGAAGAATCATAATAACAGCCGAATATGTGCCACCTATGTCGCTACATAGAATGGCTATTGAAGGGTGCCTACATAGCAGTTACCTAGGATGGACGGAGTTGGAAGTCAAGGTCGCACCTGGTGGCAAACTCTACTGGAATAATTTTTTTGCGGCTCCGAAAAATGCTTACCTAATGTAACTTTTGTATTCTTTTTTTCTTTCCTTTTCCTTTCTCCCTTTTTTCCTCTTGATGTCAACAACAACGTCTGCTGCCTGGAGAACGAAGAGAGCTTTTACGCCGCGCTAGTTGTTTTTGATCCCCCTGCAACAAATAAATCTCATATTTTCATAGGACTTCCCCCTGTTTCCCGACATCTCTTCACCATGTCTCGTGGCGGCGGCACCACCCTTTACGTTACCGGTTTTGGCCACGGCACTCGAGCCCGAGAACTCGCCTACGAATTCGAACGGTATGTCCTCATCGTCGAGCCCCCCCTGATCGATACCTCTCGACCGATCCTTCTCTCTACGTCTTAAGTCCGAACCGTCAAAAGCGATATTCTTTTCTTCCTGTGTCTACTCCCCCGTAACGGTCCTACGCCCCGACGCCCTGATATATAGTCTATTCACGATGAGCTCCTTCGTCCATCAAGATAGCTTATACTATACCCCTACTGGTTCTTGTTGTGAGGCTCATGCGGAATATATACATATACTACATCTCTTATCCTCATCTGTCGATAGCTAGAAGGTCACCGTTGAAACGTTCGTCTCGCTAACATTACTATCAAAGATATGGGCGCCTCGTGAGATGCGATATCCCAGCCCCCAGAACGGCATCAAGTCGCCTGTAAGAACTTACAATCCAGGATTCCTTCTCCCGTTATAATTCCATACTTACAAGTTTTCAGCTTTGCTTTTGTTGAGTACGAGAGTCGCCGTGATGCCGATGATGCCTATCATGAAATGCACAACAAGCGCATTGGCCGTGACGACATCCTGAAGATTGAGGTAAGAGAATTTCCGTCATCCGTATATTCCTTTTTTAGCCATTCCAATACTCAGACCGGTGTCACAGTGGGCACGTACTCCACCATCTGCATCATGGCGCTTCGATTCTGGCCGTGACCGTCGTCGTGACCGCACACCACCACGCCGTGGCCACCGCTCTCCCTCTCCACGACGAGGCCGTGACTACTCTCCACGTAAGGATGAGCGTCGTGACCGCGACTTTGAGCGACGTGATAGAGACCGTTCTCGCAGCCCTGACGACCGTGATCGCGAGCGTGACCGGGATCGGGACACCCGGGATGACCGTGAACGCCGCGATGGCGAGCGTGAGAACGGCACCACGAATGGAGAAGAAAGGAAAGGTAATTAATACTATCTATCTAGCCTTGCGCAAGGGGTGCGTCCCGTCTTGCCGTTATAAATACTGACCCTAGCTAGTTCCCTTAGATTCTCCCACCCCCGCACATGACGAGCTGGATACTGCTGAGTAGGTCAATCGCCAAGCTGGGAAACCTTCCCATTTTCCGCCATCACGCCGGAAATATACCCCCCTCGCTCCTGAAAAATTGCCGATTTATGTTAGTCCGCATGACGGTGAGAAACTAGTTGCCTTACCGGGTAATATTCCTCTAACCCAGGGGCTAGCACTCCTCTCAGGTCATGATTCCCTGTTCCCTTGCTCTTCTTCCTTCAGTTCTCTATTCTTAATCTCCTTTTTTATCTGTACTTGCATGTTCAACATCTATTCTTTAGTGGGCAAGTGGGTCTTCTTACGATGTATAAACACCTTATATCAGCGTTAGGTAAAATCTATCTTAGAGCTCTGTGGCGTCCTTTCTTTTAACCATGACCTTGAGAGAAAGGTTTTACCAGATTGGTGGTGTACTCTTGTTCGGCCATGTTGGCAGATTCTCACTAGCTCCACTAGGTGTTATAAATTTGAATCCATACCTTGATTGATCCTTGGAAGCTTTAATAAATATTATAGTAGCATTATCCGTCTTGACTGTAGTATTACGATATCGGTTCGACCGAGAAATTTCCTATTGAAACACAGAGTGCACGGCTCAGTGCCTTGTTCCAAAGCCATGGTTATCTAGTTTGATCGTGGTTGGTTGCTCAGCGGTTGGATTAAGCATTTAGCATCTATCCGTAGCCACACCATTTCCTATCTATTCATAAATTCTCTCCGCTCTTCGAGTAACACCGATTTATCCTATCATTTCAATATAATACGTTATCCTAGTAATGGGGTCTCCATCGATTGCCTGCATAGGCATAATTGGAAAGCAGGTTTGTTCTTTTTTTGAATATGAACGCTTGAGTGTTTAGACTAACGGCTATAATAACTCCCGCAAAAGAACAATCTGCTTCACATGTCACTCTTCGAGCCACATGTAGATGATCAGCTCGAGTTCTCATTTATCTTGAATTCAAGCCTGGATATATTTGATATGCGGCAACAGCATACCTCCGTGGACCAGGACCTGGGTCTCCTTCACGCCTTGGATGAAAGGCTCTCTGTCTACGGATGGTTAACCAACACGGGGATCAAGTTTGTGATTGTCGTGGACCAAGAAGGGAGAACTTCAGCGCCTTCCGTGGAGCGGGAAAGATCTCTACCGGTTGTTGGTCTACGGGATTCTGATTTAAAACCCGTACGTATCTGTTGATCGCCACTTTTATATGCTACGAATACTCATATTTGTATCAGGCATTCCGAGCATTGCAAACCGCATATGTAAAGTTATTACAGAATCCTTTTTACAACCCAGACGAGAATATTCTGGGAAGTGATAGTCAGACAGAGTCGAAGCGGAAGGGGATTGCTAGCCGCCAATTTGTCGAAGAGGTCAACCGGATTGGCAGTACTTGGGCTCCGGGGATAACTGGCCTTTAAAATTGTCTATTATGACGGTTTTTTCTACAGTATCCAAGCTCTCGTTTGCTCTGCTCAGCTCCTGCATTGAATTAATTATACGGATGGTACTACGGTTATTGAAGAGGGAATTTGGCCACATTTGATTAAATCGGCGTCCGAGGCGCTCAAGATAGACAATAATACATTACCTAAGTAGTATACCTATTCCTCATTGTATTCATATCTACACCCTCAACTGCTGATGTTTGATTGCAAGCGATTTATTCAAGGCCGAAGCGCGGTCTCGATCACGTGACAATTACCGGTTTAGGCCTAGCGTAGGGCTTCTTCCCACACACTCCACCTCACCAAAATTCATCGCCAAAAATTCTTGAAACTCGACCAGTTGTTCAACCACGTCGCTGCGAAAAGAAGTCCGCCAGCAAGACCATTTCGCACCGCAGCCATGGGTAAGCAATATCTCCGTTTCATGCGTTGAACAGCTTCTAGGCCATCATCTTGTGTTTACGAGTGTCGAAAATGCGGGAAGAGAATTGAACATTTGCTGAACAAGCGATATTATGCAGGTATCGATTTGGACCGTCACCACGTCCGCAACACCCACCGCAAGGCCCCAAAGAGCGACAATGTCTACCTTCAGCTCCTCGTGAAGCTTTACCGCTTCCTTGCTCGTACGTCCTGAAGAGAAATCCCCTGACGAGATCGCAAAAAAGGCAAAAAGTGGGAAAGTGAACTTGAAATTAACCAGGGATATTTTTTGTGCGATATATAGGCCGAACCGATGCAAACTTCAACAAAGTAATCCTCCGCCGTCTTTTCATGTCCCGCATCAACCGCCCACCAGTTTCTCTCTCGCGCATCGTATCCAGCGTTAAGAAGGGACCAGAGGAAGCTTCCACCGGAAAGACCATTGTCGTTGTTGGCACTATCACCGATGACAACCGTCTGCTCGAGGTGCCAAAGATGTCCATCGCTGCTTTGCGACTCACCTCCTCCGCCAGAGCTAGAATTGAGAAGGCCGGTGGTGAGATTTTGACTTTAGACCAGCTCGCCCTCAGAGCCCCCACTGGTGCCAACACTATCTTGCTGCGTGGACCAAAGAACTCTCGTGAGGCCTTCAAGCACTTCGGATTCGGCCCGCACAGCGGAAAGGTTAGTTTTTATGACATATATTTTTGTGGGTTAGAATGCAATTGCTAACATGTAAGCTAGAAACCGCTTGTTGCAAGCAAGGGACGCAAATTCGAGAGAGCTCGTGGACGAAGAAGATCGCGTGGTTTCAAGGTTTAAACTGGTTGTTTATGGGATCCTATTTCAGAGGTCAGCTTATAAAAAAGTAGCGTAGCTGTACTTGTGATTGAAATGAAATGAATTTCCTACCCCTTTTCACCAACAACCGCTACAGGGATTCTCTAATGTGAAATAATCTTTTAAAATGACATGACGTCTTTTCGATCCCGTGGAGTGCAAGAAATGATGGCTGTTTTCTCTGTTCAATCTGGTATCTTATATATAACATGCTGCCTTCAAATGTCCATTTTCTCATGTTTCCATGTTCTACCGCCTTCGCCCTGGAAATAGTCACCCGCAATGTGACCTTCACCTCGAACCAGGTACTTGTATATTGTCAAGCCTTCCAACCCGACGGGTCCTCTGGAATGAATCTTATTGGTACTGATTCCAACCTCTGTACCAAATCCATATCTCATCCCATCTGCCATCCGGGAACTGGCATTCCAGTAAACACCTGCGCTATCAACGGCAGCCAGAAAGCGTTCAGCAAGCTCTCTTGTAGATGTTAATATCACATCAGTATGTTTTGAGGAGTGATTGCCAATATGTGAGATTGCTGCATCCACATATGACTGGTCGGTTGTTCCCTCAACCGTCTTGACAGCCATGATGGCTTCGAGGAACTCAGTGTTGTAGTCTTCCTTAGTTGCATCTTTGAGCAATGCAAGTTGGGACGAATCCAATTTATCTTGTAGTGCCGCTTTGGACTTTGGGTCACATCTCAGAATGACTCCTTTTTGAGTCAAAGCGGCAGCTACCTTGGGAAAAATGGTTGATAACGCTCTTTCGTCAACCAGAAGAGTCTCTGCAGCATTGCACGCAGCGGGATAGTGCAGCTTTGAATCAACAATAACCCTTTCGGCCATGTTGGCATCTGCATCCGAATGGAGATAGACGGCGCATCTCCCATCGGCGTGGCCAAGCACAGGGATCTTTGTGTTCGTCTTCACAAATTTGACCAAGTCATTTGATCCCCTGGGAATGACTAGATCAATATGCTCGTCTAACGCTAGGAGTGGAAGGATTGCGTCTCGTGTTTTCACCAACTGTACTGCCGCCTTTGGCACCTCGGTAGTAGCGGCGGCTTCCGCTATCACTCTAGAGATTTCTATGAATGACTCAGTCGACTCCTTTCCGCCTGTTACAGGTTAGTAAAAACAATCTTTCAGTATATATTCCCAATGTTTAACTTACCTTTCAAGATTGCGGCATTTCCAGATTTGATGGAGAGGGCAGCAATGTTGGCAATAACCTCCGGGCGAGCCTCGAAGATTATCAGCAAGACACCAATTGGACAACTAACCCGTTCAAGAATCAGGCCATCGTCTAGTTTTGTCCGTAATGAGATCTTGCCAACTAGTAGTAAGGGAATTTAGTAAATTAGCACTGTTAAGAGATGGCAATGTGGGGGGGGCAGGCCATATCCGTACTGGGGTCTTCGAGATTCTTAACATCTAGAATTCCCTTTAGCATATCGTCATATTTTCCAGGGCGTGCCAGATCAAGCCTCTTCAAGATACTAGAGCTGAGCTCCCCCTTTTCTACCGCTTTTGTGGCGGCATCTACATCCCTGGCGTTTGCCTGGAGGATGACATCTTTATTTTTTTCGAGTGCATCATGTATGGCAGCGAGGTCCTTGTTCCTGGCGTCAGCAGAAAGAATGGCTAGCTGTCTGGCACCCGCGGACGCAAGGTTTGCTATCTCAAGGGGAGAGGACTCTGTCAATGACATGGCTGCTGCAATGAATGCTTGATATAAAATGATCTATATAGATGCTATCATTATTACTATGACTGTATTTTTTTGGCGGGGGTTTTGGATTTCCAGGTTTAGTACCGCGCTAGTAATATATAGCGTATGAGTACCAGTGATGTAATAATACACAGCTTAAAAACCACAGACAAAAGCTTCTTTTCACATCTACTTCAAAAACGTTCTCAAAGTCAACAAACTTGCTGCCAGTCTTCGTGCTTGATACTTCTCGCCTTCGACGACGTTCACGACTGGAGTTTGGTCCCTTTTTCCCTCGCGGCTAAGATACAGAATTGCAGTAGAACCTTCCCTAGGAAGTTAACTGGCCCATCATCTTCAGCATTATACCACCTGTCATTATTCTTTTCCAAGCAAGTTCATTCGTGGTGATCCTTGATATTACTGCCTGCGTAGAGATTCCTATCGAGTACCCTTTTCACCTTTTGTTCGGTTTGATTCTCTCTTTAAATCAACCGCTCGTGAAATATGGCTACCCAGCTGCTGCTATCTTTCGACCCTTCGGCGGAATTATCGGATGCTGAATATGACCAGAAAATCCGTACATTCTGTGTGAATATCAAAAAACTATCGTCGAGTGCACTGGTTGGCTCTAGTACAGCTGGGCAGGGAAACCATCTCGACGTGAGCATAATACCCCAATTCTAGGCTATCCCGTGCCTTCTCTACATGCATCAGTGCCTAACATGTTTATATCTTAGATATTGAACCCTGCTCAACACTCCGTGGCATACGTGCAAGTCCTGCTAGCCTTGTATCAAACTACGCAAAAGTCAGGAAAGTCAGGCTGCCCCGAAGCTTTTCAACCAGGTGGAGAAGGCTGGAAGAGAGCATTGGAGTTTTTTGAGACTTTTGATCCGATACAAGTTCGGTACGTGGGCCGTGAGTTCACAAGGCTTGTTGAGATTATTGTTGCTGCTGCACATTCTGCTTCACAGGTATGTATTTGTACAAGAGTTAATGTTAATCTACCAGCACTGACGTATTGGTAGCCACTCCTTGCTGTTCAGCCTCTCAGAAATGCCTTGCTTCGGCTTGATCCGTCATGCTCGACAATGACGGCAACTCACACTTTGTTTGTACGCATGTGCCTCAGAGCGAGAGCTTACCGCTCCGCGCTACCCATACTGGAGAAACCTATCTTTCATATCCCTGCCTCTGGAGATAGAACTTACCATAAACGAGCTCAGATATTACCGTGTGACAGAGACCAGTCTAGCTCTACATATATAACAGATTCTTCTGGCCTGGCAGGCACACTTACTCACCAGACGTATCTTGAATATTACCTGTATGGTGCTATGATCTATACGGCTCGAAAGGAATGGGATAACGCCTTAAGATTTTTGCATATTGTTATGGCTGCACCTGCCATCAATTCTGTGAGCAAGATCATGGTTGAGGCGTACAAGAAGTGGATTTTAGTACGCCTGTTGGCCAAAGGACAGGTTTGTCAAATATTCTTTCCTCTCCCCTTTCAATTTGGGTAGACTTGCCAAGAGTACACAATAATAAGTGAAGTCATCCTGTTAACTCACTCTCGACAGATTTTAACCATACCTCAGGGCGTACCCCAGTTTGCAATAAGGATATACAAGGCCCTTGCTAAACCGTATGAGGCACTGGCGGACATCTTCCTGGACGGTACGTTACAAAGATTGGAGGCAGAGATCTCAGTAGGGACAGAGGTCTGGGATAAAGTAAGTTGAAATGAAAAGAAAACAAAGAAGCCTCTTACGGTTGATGTTGAGGTATTGTTTATATTGACTGCAACAGGATAACAATTTTGGTCTTGTCCATCAACTTCCTGCTGCCTATCGTCGTTTCTCTATACTTAGGCTGGAGAAAGTATTCGCTGCGATATCAATACCAGATATTACCGGCAGAGTCTCATATGAGTGTGGCTCTGCTGCAGAGTTAGAAAAGTATGTGGCTTCACTGATAGAAAAAGGTCAGCTGGATGCGCGTCTTGTCCAGGCTTCTGACCCTTCTGGCCCCTCGGTGCTTCGCTTTGGTCAGAACATGACAGCCATGGACCCGTCTTCGGAAGCCAAGCTGTGGGCGAACCTTGTTAAGGAAAAGAACCGCATCAAGGCTATGATAGACAATGTCGCGAGGATCGATGTGAGAGTGGAACTAGGAGGAGACTATATTGATGGACTTGGGAAGGCCCAGCGGAAAGCTGAAGCGCAGGCCCACAGAAATGCCTCCGCCTTTGACGAAGATATCATGGGAATTCCCCGCTAGAGCGACTTATTACAGGCACTTATCATAATTAGATTTGAGAAGAGAAAACCAAAAAGAAGCATAAGAAGATATTTTAATCGGAGTTACATGATCAGCGCGGATTCAAAATGTACAATTTGCGCTGCTTAGGCGTTAAGAGAAGCTAATCTCCAGCAACTTGGCCAGTAACAAAGTAAGGTCACATACTAGCGAAGGGCATGGTGAATTTTTTCCTTCAAAACAACATAACAAGCTAATACATGGTGCCCGTAATAGGCAAACAAATAAATGAATATATAAAAAAGGGAAGTAACTGGGTACGATTTCGAAGAGAAGCTCTTAGTTTGAGCTAGCTGGAGCGGGTGTAGCGGGCTGAGCGGGCTGAGCGGCAACCTCAGCGATTGAGGCACCAGTACCGGAAAGGTCTGTGGTAGTGGGATTCTTGGAATAATAGTTGTTGATGGCGGACTTGATAGCGTCCTCTGCAAGCATAGAACAGTGTACTATTCATGCACATGTCAATGCCTCGGGTCTCTAGCTGTTTGGATAAGAGTAGAATGGCGACTCACGCTTGACTGGAGGTAGGCAAAGTTCCTTTGCTATCTCTGTGTTCCTAATCTTTGCAGCTTCCTCCAGCGTCATTCCTCGTACCAGTTCGGTCAGGTAACTTGAGCTGGCGATGGCACTGCCGCATCCAAAAGTCTTGAACTTGACGTCACTGATAGTGTTGTTGCTCTTGTCGACTCTGATCTGTAGTTTCATCACATCACCGCAGGCTGGGGCTCCAACTAGGCCAGTTCCAACGTCCATATCTGTCTTTGACATTGACCCGACGTTTCTCGGGTTGCTATAATGATCTAACAGTGCAGCAAAAAGTCAGTCGGGTGAACGACGATGTGGGCAGTAACAAGTAGAGGGGGCTCTGCATATCTTTCTCATGATAGCTCCTGGTCATTCGGAGGGTTACAGCTGGCACCGGTGTGAGTGGCGTCAAAGCTGGTCGTGATATGGCAGGCGATGCAATGCATCTGGTCGCTCTGGGAGCAAGGGAAACAGCTCGTCTGAACATTGTAGAGAGTGTGATATGGTATCTTATCAGTATCCTGTTTGCGAATGGAGATGGAGAGAGATGGAGAGAGAGAGAGACAGAGAAATAAACGTGAAGGAAGAAAAGAAAAAGGCGTAGGAAGTTATCTGATGCGATAAAATCGGAGAAACCGACCAAGATCTGATAAACTTGCTCCGACCCTCCGCGGACTTGTCACGTGGTATCACGTGTAACTAACTCATCCTATCAGGGTCGCGATATACGATATTAGCTAGCCAGAACGACGTCCAAAAAAGAACGAGCAAGCAGAAGAGGAAGAGAAAAAGACCAACACCCTGTTCTCTTTCTTTCAACTCCTGTCTGTACATATCAGAGGCCATGAATCCCTCGCGGGGAGGCAATTTTGCCGTCAGGCTGTTGGGTAGGATTCCATTCCTCGCGATTTTTTCAGTCAATGCGTGGCTAATACTGAGATATATAAATATAATGTTGCAGGCCAACACCGCCCCATCCTGTCCACCACTCTGCCTACCCTTTCCTCCACCAGATTCCAGTCGACGCAGTCGGCGACTGAGCAATCGGGCGCCCTACAGTCTACAGCCAGTTCTGTTCCTGCACGGAAACCAAGGAGAGAGGTTCCTCTGCCCAGCCAGGAGAAACCGCAGGGTGTTTTGGACTATGCCTTGTTCGTTGTCCCTTTTTATTGCCATTTGCATACCCTTCTTTCACCTTCTTAGGGATATATGGCTAATTGCGAGGGATTGGGCTGTAGGACTACCCTCGACCAGGTGGCCAATTGGGCTCGGCAGGGTTCTCTATGGCCGATGACCTTCGGCCTGGCGTGCTGTGCCGTCGAGATGATGCACCTGTCCACCCCACGATACGATCAGGATCGTCTTGGAATCATTTTCCGAGCTTCCCCTCGTCAGTCTGACGTGATGATTGTTGCCGGAACGTTGACGAACAAGATGGCGCCGGCCCTGAGACAGGTGTACGATCAGATGCCTGAGCCGCGGTGGGTGATTAGCATGGGAAGCTGTGCCAACGGCGGTGGATACTATCACTACAGTTACTCTGTTACTCGTGGGTGTGACAGGATTGTGCCTGTTGACATCTATGTTCCTGGCTGTATGTTTGCGCCTCTTTCTTTTTCTTTTTGGATAATTTATGTATGTTTACTAATGAGATACAGGCCCACCTACCTCTGAAGCACTGATGTATGGAATTTTCCAGCTGCAGAGGAAGATGCGAAACACCAAGATCACTCGGATGTGGTACCGACGATGAGCTGGTTGTGCTTGTGTTTACCAAAAACGGAAGATATCCTGTAAAGTACCTTTCTTTGTACAGCATAGTGTTGATGGCTACTCACTATACCTCAGTTCTGATTCCCCCAGACACCACTTGTTGATCTCGCTCCTTATCCCCTTTTTATCCTCTTTTATTCATTCGTGTTTTGTTATAGATTGAGAATCTGCCAGGGCTATATGTGTGTGGGCCAAAGTGTTAGTTATTTCTATGGAATGTAGGGCAGACAACGATTAGGCCAGCAATAAAAGGAAGTAGCTTGCGAGTCCTGTTGTACCAAATTAAACACCGAGAAGAAACGAAAAAGATTGCTATGAACGCTGACATGGGAAAATGGCAGAAAAGCAAAAAGACTACTTGGTCTCCTCATCGATAAGGTCTTGACCATAGTCGCTATCGTCGCCATCGTCATTAGCAGTGGGCTTCTCAGCCTCTACAGTGGCTGTTTCGATGGTGGTTGTCTTATCATCTTCCTCCGTGGTTGCTTTGACGGTAGAAACGGTGGTTTCCGCCTTGTCATCTTCCTCTGTGGCTGATACAGCAGTGGTGGTAGTGACTTTTTTGGATGGGGCAAGACTCCAGTCGATAAGACCGTCTTCCCCGTATCTACTCTGCAGCCAGTCATTCGCCTTTTTGAAATGCCCACAGGTCAACTATGTAGATGTTAGCTATTAAAAAAGGAGTAGGCAAGGCAAAAAAAGGAAGAAGAAGAAGAAGGAGAAGACGACATACAAAGCCCTTGTGAGCACTGAGAGGGCTGGGATGGACAGACTGCAGGACGCAGTGCCTGTCCCTGTTGACTGCAGCGACCCTCTTCCCTGCCGGGGACCCCCAGGCGAGGAAGACGACCCCTCTGGTGCGGACACGGGCGACGAGATCGATGGCTCGCTGCGTGAAGCGCTCCCACCCACGCTGGGAGTGGCTGTTGGCGTTGTGGGCGCGGACGGTGAGACAGGTGTTGAGCATGAGGACGCCCTGCCGGGCCCAGGGGGTGAGCAGGCCGCCGCGGTTGGCAGGCGGCTCAAAGGCAGGATAGTCATGCTTGAGCGCGAGATAGATGTTCTTGAGGGACGGGGGAGCAGGAGTCGGCGGCTTGACAGAGAAACAGAGGCCGTGAGCCTGGCCGTGGTTGTGGTAGGGATCCTGGCCGATGATGACGGCCTTGACCTTGTGCAGCGGCGTATACCGCGACCTTCTCGCCGTTAGCACCTATTCTATCTTTCTTCGTAGAGGTGGAAGAGAAAATACCAGGAGTAGATGTCCTCTTCAGGGGGAAATATCTTGCCGCCAGCCTTCTTCTCGT